GTGAAGACCATGGCCTCTCCCTTCACCTGAAGCCAAAGTCACACATTCTCATAGCAATCCCAAGAGCCAATGGGAGCCAGAATGTGAACTAAAGTAACCCTACCAGCACCCAATTCAGGCACCCACAGCCGGCACTCACAGCCCTCACCCAGGCATCTGACCTCTTAGTATCAACTCAGGTGTTAAAATCTTGACACCTCTCCAAGTCAACTGATAAAAGCTACCACCCTGCCCAGTCCCTCAAGCCCTCCTCACACAAAACGAGGCTCCACCATCCCTTCAGGGTAGTGACAAATGTTTAGAATTGCCTCACTGATCCCCTGACAGAAACGGACACAGTGGAAGCAGAGAAAACATTAATTACTTAAAGCCCTATGAAGGATACCAAGCCATTGGACGCCCTCTGCTGTCCAAGAGATGTATTGCAACCACCACCGACTCAGCTGTTCCCACCATGGCTTTGATAGTCAGAAACATAATTTTGGGGTAATTAAAGAATAAAGGAAAATAATGGTGATACTCAAGGATTTTTTCCAATGCTTGAAATGCCCTTAGTTATTACTAGTAATAAAAGTAAAACTGTGGGTAGTCTTCCTCATTTGACAGGGACAAAGAGGTGTAGATCTTGGCAACATCTTTCTTGCCTGGGATTACTAAGATAGTCTGTGGTCATCTGACCCCCAATGTCTACTCCTAAGTGCCTATTTAACCATCTGAATGTCACAAAGCAATTAATACACTTTAGTGAGAAACACTAGTAGTGAACACTTCTAACCCAAAGTATTAAAACTGTTCCCCCCCACCTTTGTTTTGTTTTGCTTTCAAGACAGGGTTTCTCTGTGTAACCCTGGCTGTCCTGAAACTCACTCTATAGACCAGGCTGGCCTCAAGCTCACAGAGATCTGCCTGCCTTTAATCCCAAGTGCTGGGATTAAAGGTGTGAGCCACCATTGTCCTGAAACCTTGAACACCTGATCCTCTGTTCCAGCCTACTGACTGTGCCACTATGCCCAGTTTACACAATGGGGAAAACCCTGGGCTTCATCCACAGCTCTCCACCAACTGAGCTATAGCCCCCAGCCTGCAACTGTTATCTTAATGTAATTAGCTGTTTGGGAATTTTTAAAACCATCTTCCAGAGGTTTATTGGAATGAAATTGTATAATATCCACTTGCTGAAATTAATCTGGGGGTCCCTGAGGGACATGAGGAGCAGGGGAGTATCAGCCAGCTGTACCCCAATCCTGCATCCTGAACAAAGTGGACACTTTCTGAGTCAGTGCCGGTGGACAAACGAGCTCTTTCTGTGCCCTTCAGCCACCACCTGCACCTTGGACGAGTCACTAATCCCCAGGATGTTGCTTTGTCCTCTTCGAAGGTTGAAGCTGACTCATGTCAATGCCTGGACACTGTGGGAGCTGGTCACTAGATGGTTTTGGTTTTGTTTGGTTTGGTTTTGAGATGGGCTCAATAGATAGTCCAGAATGGCTTGGAATCCACAGTCCTCCTTTCTCAGCCTCCTAGGGACTGGGATGGATATGAACAAAGGCAGACTAAGACTTGGTCTGCTTCATAATGTGTCTCAGAAGTCCGACTCAAACAGCAGGACAGCCTGTGGCCATGGCATCTCTTCACAGCAAACACAAACCCCACCTGAGACAATTATGGTCAAGAGTATTCTTTTCCAAGGTACACAGGATGGTAGAAATGACCCAAGATGGCTTTTGTAGTTTGGTTAGAAAGGGCACATGTCTTCAGCTTGGCTCTTTCATCCTCAGTGCTTGATGTCTTAGTTGCCAGTTTGTCAGGACCTGAGGTCACCTGGGAGAGGCTGGGAGGGCATCTCCAGTTCTGGAGAGCAACGAGGGAGGAACATGTGTACTGGACACGGTTCTGTGTACCCAACAGCATTTTCAGTGCAAGCCTCCTTAAGACTCCATGCTCCCTCCAATCCCAGCATTCGGGGGGCAGAGGCAGAGGAATCTCTGTGAGTTCGAGGCCAGCCTGGTCTACAAAGTGAGTTCCAGGACAGCCAGGACTGCTACACAGAGAAACCCTGTCTTGAAAAATCAAAAACAAAAAGCAAAAAACAAACAAACAAAAAAACCCAAAAAACAAAAAACAAACAAACAAAAAAAACCCAAAAACCTCCATAACTCGTATTTATGAAGACATGGATGGAATGGGAAGGCGTTCCACTCAGTGGGAAACACCAGGCACAAAAGACCAACACCACAGGCTTTCAGGCCTTATTTGTAGAATCTAAATGGATGAAATTCAGAGAAGCAGAGAGCAGTAGGGAAGTAGCCAGGGGCTGAAGACCGGGAAAGCTAGGTGACATCAATCGAAAGAACAAAGGCTTACCAGACAAAAGAAATTATTACTGTTTTGGGGGATCTATTACATAGCATGGGAAACAGCAAAATGTAGACTGTACATTTCAAAGTTGCAGAGTGATTTCCAATGGTCTCACCACACACACAAAAAATTATGCCCTTGGGTTCCATGGGGCCACAATCAGCCATCACGAAGCCAGGGACACCGAGTAACTCCATTCAAAAGGCAATCATGTTGAAAGTCAAGAAATTTAACAACAAAATAGCTGGTGTATCGCTTCACACCTCACTGTTTGCCCTGAAAATAGATGTCTGTGATCAGCTCAGAGAAAAGGCAATCAGCTCGCTTAAGAGTGCATCCCTGGGCTCTAAACCTTAACCTTAAACAACCAACTTCCATGGAAATATTCAGTCTCCACATTCATTAGCAACCTGGCCCATCAGGAGAACTGGTCTAAATATCAATAGCCACCTTAGTGTGTGCTATTGCATTTCCTGTCACTAGAGAATGTGGCCAAGGGACCATGGCTAAAGCACCCCAGCAAACCACATGGCTGTCCCTAACCACTGAGTATCATGGCCCACTTCAGCTGGTAAGGACTTCCCTTGGTACACAGAAAGGACCTTCTGGGGGCAACAGCTTCCATTGTCTCTAAGAAAGAAAAAAAAATCCTCTGAGTTCGAGACCAGCCTGGGCTACAGAGTGAGTTCTAGGACAGAGAAAGAGAGAGAGAGAGAGAGAGAGAGAGAGAGGTTCCTCCTCTGCCTTCTGAGCGCTGGGATTAAAGATATACACCACCACCACCCAGCCCATAGAAAGGAAACATTTAACTGATTTAATTGGGTGACTTACAGTTTCAGAGGTTTAGTCCATTATCATCCTGGTGAGACATGGCGTCGTACAAGCAGACAGGAAGTGGACATAGGAGACCTCAAAGTCCACCCTCACCAAAACCCACTTCTGGCAACAAAGCCACACCCACTCCAATAGTGCCACTCCCTTTGAGCTTATAGGTGCTAATTACATTCAAACTACAACATGTCTATTCACCCCCAGATAGGGTTCCCACAACAGACCGAAGTATGGTTACCACAGAAATCCAACTAGGTGAACCACTGAGTTTTGGGGGATTATTTATGAGGTTAAGGGTGAGGATCACTCCCAGAGGTAGTGACTCAGAGACAGCTGCGTCACTAAAGCCTACCCAAGCTTGGGTGACAGCTCTTACAAGGTGGGAGCCTAGAGCATGCTACAGGTAGCTCAGCAGGTTGGAGAGTGTGCCTTCCGGGTGGCTCAGTTGATTGGAGCCTTTTCCAGGCGGCTCTGGGGACCTCTGGTTCTCCCAGGCTGCGGTGGCAGCCTCAGTCTCCTTTGCAGCTTGGCTTCTCTGGGAGTGGAGCCTCTCGAACCCATTATTGTTTACTGTTGGCAAAGGCGGAACCTGGTGAATCTGGTGAGTTTCAGGGACTTCCTGAAGCTATTTGGAGTTGTTTACTTTCTGTCTTAAGGAGCTTGCCTGCCAGAGAGGAAACTGCTACCCAGCATGAGAAACTAGGAGAACCATCTAGGTGGCGCCCACTGGCTGTGCCCCAGGAGCTAGAACATCCCTCCCCTTTAGGCACCTCTGTCCCCTGGGGGTGCAGGGAAGGAGCGCCTTGCTGAGCAGGAGTTAGGCATGGAGTGCCAGGGAAGGAATGGGGGCTCTATCAACAAACACACCCAGGATGCACCTTGGTGAGCAAGAGGGGTAGAGTGGCTGGAACAGAAGTGATGAGGGTGTCTGGGTTTGGCTAGGTTGGTAAGGAAGCTACCGCTGAGGGAGCTGGACTACTGCTCTGGGTTAGAGAAGAAACTAAGTGAGGGCCATACCAGGAGCCTCAGTATGCCTTTTATAACGAGCTAAACTAGAGCCCACCTGGATGTCCACTTACCACTGCTGGATTCTTTTTGTTTTAAGACAAGGTTTCTCTGTATTGCTTTGGAGCCTGTCCTGGAACTTGCTCTGTAGAACAGGCTGGCCTCGAACTCACAGTGAGCCGCTGCCTCTGCCCCCCGAGTGCTGGGATTAAAGGCATGTTCCACCAACGCCCCGCCCTGCCATTGGATTCTTACCTGCAGACTGGGCATAGGAAAGCCTTCCTTCTTGGCTGGAGTCGGCAAGGGCTCCATGGTCTTTCAGAAGGAACATAGTACCCTGGCTAGTTTTACGTCAACTTGACACAAGTGAGAGCCATCTGAAAGGATGGAACCTCAATTGAGAACATGCTTCCATAAGATCCAGCTGTAGGGCATATCTTAACTAGTGATTGATGGGGGAGGCACAACCCCCTGTAGGTGGTGTCATCCCTGGGCTGGTGGTACTGGGTTCTGTAAGAAAGCTGGTTGGGCAATCACCTCTTCCATGGCCTCTGCATCAGCTCCTATTTGCAGGTTTTAGTCCTGTTTGAGTTCCTATCCTGACTTCCTTCTGTGATGAGGAAGTGTAAGACAAATAAACCCTTTCCTCTCCAGGTTATGTCTTCACTTCCTGCCCCTGACCTCACATCTGTCCCCGAAGGCCCCAGAGCGCGTGCCTTGGGAGCCCTCGGTGTCCACCAGAGGGCAGCACAGGATCGCGCTCCGCTCACCTGCCCACGCAGCTCTCCGGAGCACCGCCTACAATCTGCACCCCACAGTGGGGCTCAAATGTCCTCAGCGAGCACTCAGCGGGGTCCGCCCCTTCCCTTGTCCACCCGGGAGCCGCCGGTTCCCTGGGCGACAGTCAACACTGACCGACCCGCAGAACACAGCTGGGCGCAGATGCTGCCCCAGCCTGGAGAGTTACTGTCCCCATCAGTCACTCTGAGCTCGGGATCCAGTGTGGGGAGGAGGGAGCGACGTGGGGAGATCGTGTGCAAGCTTTCCTGGGATAAAGAGCCTCTATCAGTCTCTTCTCTCTCTCCTCTCTCCTCTTCAGTCCCCCATGGGCAGTCAAAACGCTGGGCTCCCAAGAGCCACAACATCCGGGTATGGACTGCCCCCTATCAGGCCACTTGCCTCAGTTTCCAGGGGCCGGGATGACCCTGCAGCAAGCAGGGGTCGTGTTGGTGACTGCCAGGGTACCACAGCCTCCAGTGTGGTGCAGCAGGACCAGCTGTGGAGGGAGCTTGTGGAAGCTGAAACACGAGGCCAGCAGCGGTGGTGAGTGTCCTACCCCTGCCTTCCTTCTCCCCCAGTCCCATACCCCACCTGCCCTGGTGCTGGGGGAAGGAAGAATATATGGAAAGGAGACTAGAGGGGGAGACATTGAAGGTAGGATGCAATGAGGCCTGTCCAGGCCCAGACTGGGTCTGAAGCTGCTACAACAGTCCAGGGCCTCGGTGCCAGCAGGTGGCTGGGAATATAGGTATAGAGAGCGCTCTGATCCCTTCTCCCATCTCACAGCAATCTCCCGAGATGGATATGGAAGGTTAGATGGGAGGAAGCTGGTGATGGGAAGCTACCGCACTGCCTAGGGAGGGATGCTAGCCTGGGGATGGGGATGGGGGTGGGGGCCTCCTTCAGGCTTTTATGTTGATAGTAATCATCACAAACATAAGGGAAGAGTACGGTGGGTCCTCAAAAAAACAAACAAAAAAAACAAAACCATGCAATCTAATAGTCACCACCTTCGATATAGAGCTGAAGAAGACAAGACTAGAATAGCAAAGGTGCTCATGGCTCCAGAGGGTTAGCATCTTTGACCATCATGGCAGAGAGCATGGCACCAGAGCAGTTGCTTAAGTCCATATTCAAAAGCCAACTGGGAATGGCATGGGCTTTTTAAGCTTCAAACCCCACCTTCAGTGATGGAAATCCTCCAACAAGGCCACATGTCCTAATCCTTTCCAAACAGGAAACAGAGTATTCTAACTAGCAACCGAGTATTCAAAGACACGAGCCCAGAGGGGCTGTTCTCCTTCAAACCACCACAAATGCTGACCTCTCAAGCCTGTAACCCCAGCCTTGGGAAAGTAAGGCAGGGGGGTCAGAAGTGCAAGGTTGCCAGGTGTGCAATGAACTCCTTTAATCCCAGCACTCAGAGGCAAAGACAGGAAGATCACTGTGAGTTCAAAGCCAGCCTGAAGTTCCAGGCCAGCTGGGACTACCCTGTCTCACAAAAAAAAAAAAAAAAAAAAAAAAAAAAAAGGAAGAAAGAAAAGAAAAAAAATTGTCAAGGTTATCCTCAGCTACATAGTGAATTCTAAGCTAACCTGGACTAAAACAAATAAATAAGGAAACTGTAAGCTTGAAGTGTTAAACACGTCTGGAGTAAGAAGAATTTGTGAAAATTACAAAAATAAGATAGAAAAAAATCTCTGGTAACTCTGTGGGCTGCTCCATAAATGCAGCACGGATGTTTGGCATTTATTGTGGTTATGTAGCATTTTAACTTCTCCATGGTGATATAAAGACTTAAAAATATGGTGAAAGTCAATCTTCAGGGTATCCAGAAAAACAAAACAAAAAACCACTCACATTCCTGTTTGTTCCTTTCCAGGGCTGAGAACTGGGGTTTCCTGAAAGACTACGACCCTTTGGTAAAGGCACCACCCGCCTCAGAAAACTGTTTGCAGCGTGAACATTCCTTCTTCATTTCCCATGGGGTGTGTGTGTGTGTGTGTGTGTGTGTGTGTGTGTGTGTGTGTGTGTGCTGTGACCTGAGATGTCTCCTCTCCTCAGGGAAATAAGAAAGAGCCTAAGGAGCTGCCTGCAGACATGCCCTTCTTCTCAGACATACTCCCCAGCTCCACAAGCAGGGAGGTGGGCAGCAGGCTGGACACGGCCCTGGGAAGAGCCCTTACCCACATGGACTTCTTCTTCATAGAAGGCACCCGGAAGAGGAAGCCAGAGGATGAGCTGCAGCCAATGTAGAGATCTCAAGGCAGACGCACGCCAGTGTGGAGTGGAGTAAACCCAGGTGGCCCTCAGAGCCTGGGTGCTCTTGGCTCAGTCCCACATGGGTGGGGGGAGGGTTCCAGAAACACCCCAGGACACAAAACCTCAGCCCTTCCACGACCACAGACATTCTGGGAAGGGAACTCAGTGCTAAGTTTGGGAGCATGTCTAATGAGTTCAGTCTGACCTTATAGCCATGAGCTTGTTCACTGCTTCTTCCCATCTGTCTGTGGGTGCTGGGGCGCCTGGGCCTGACTTCATGCCTTGGGAGGAGATGAGGAGAGCTGATAGGTAGCACAGTCTTGGGATCTGACCTGAAGGCTGCAGCCTTCTTTCTGGGAATAGAAGGTCAAAGTGGGGTGTCCTGATCATAGAGTTAGGCAAAGTCACTGGTGAGTACTGTCAGAACCTTGACTGGACTTCACATGACCTTGAGTTGGATGGGTACAGAAGTGACTATAAGGGCTCAGTACAAGTGCAGTCTGTGTTTCTGGCATGCAAATGCTTTACATTACTCTACCTACCCCCACCTCCCAAAGAGCTATTTCTGTCTGGGTGAGTCTAGGAGCAAGAAAGAGAAGTCAAAGCAGGGGCTGGAGATATGGCTCAGCAGCTAAAAGCACTTGCAGGGAACCCAGGCTCAATTCCCAGCACCCACATAGTGGCTAATAGCCACCTGCAACTCTAGCTGCAAGGAATCCAGTGCCCTCGATGGCCCCAAAAGGCCCCGAATGCACAGTTGTATATGCAGACAAGTGCACAAAAATAAAACTACAAAACAAAAGTCAAGGCTAACTGCCGCTGCAGGTGGCTTCATGTGTGCATACTTAAGGGACCCATCAAGACTTCTCTAACAGGTCTCCTGGGGCATGGGACCAGGGGCCAAGCCTACAAGCATAGCCACTTACTGATAGTACAGAATTTAAGCCCAAGCCGCCTTCTTCATAGGTATTTTTGTCACTATCCAAAAAGTCCAGAAACCAAGGCAAACATCTGGGGCAGCCTGGTCAATTCCTCAGGCTGACTCAGAGGAGCGATACTCCTCCAGGCATCCATCTACACAGTTAGAGGATGGGCAGGTGAGGGGAGGAGACAGATCTTAGGGGTAGTTCTTCTCCAGAGTGCACTGGCCAGCAGGGACTGCACAGCCCAGCCCACCACCTCCTTTCCCTTGCACAGACCTTGGCTGGAATGTCACACTGGGAGACGATCTAATAAAAATGTCTCCCAGTTTTTGGACCAATAGGATCCCTAAGCATAGGCTTCTCTCTGCTAATCTCCAGAGTGCTGTGGCCAACCGAACCAAGAGAGAACACTACAGCATGCCATGTCTATGTGACCCTTCACCCCGTCACCTGCCCCACCTGCATGGGGCAGTCAACAATGAACCGGGGAATACCTGGAAAGGAAAGGGGGGGGGGGCAAGAGATACAAAGAATGGTTAGCAAGACAGTATTCTGATCAAGCTGACAAATTTTATTTTCTCGAGGGAGGCTTATATAGGACCGTGGGCAGAATGTGAGCAGGGTTTGCTCTAGCCAGGGCATGAGCACTGGCTGTAGGCAGAGTGAGGAGGTCAGTAGAAAGAATACCCTAAATTGTTTAGCTAACCTATAATAGGCTGTAAATGCAGCAGGAGAGATAGCCCTGAACTATTCTTTAACTGGCTATGAAAATGCAAGCCTGGACCTTGGGATGTTCTGCTGTACATTCTGTTTATTTCTTAAGAGGCAGTAATTTTCTATCACAGAGACCTGAGGTTGTGAGGTCTGTCCCTAACAGTCACCAGGTCGCATCTTTAGGCTCTTCAGAAAAGTGCCTGCTTCTGAGTCTCTGTCTCACCCACAGGCTGAGGAAATGGAGATGAAGGGTCCAGCCACCAGAACAAAGAAGGCTGGATGAGCCAGGCAGCCTCCAGGCTTAGGCATGGAGGCATGGCACCAAACATCCACTGCATCGCTGGAACACCCTAGAGACTTGTCTATATAGTCAACCAGGGCAGCTCAGAGCCCACCCACTGGGCAGCACCAGGGGTCCAGAAGGAGACAACTGGCTGGGGAGCTAAGGACCACTGCAAGGCAGGAAAGAGCCCCCTTCACTGCTGCCCACTGCTCTGAGCGAATCTGTCTCCTTCTGCTGTGTGGTAGACGCTGCCTCCATTTCCAGTGATAATGAATGACCACCAGCCATGGAGGCATGGAGCAACCCTTGGGCATCTTCCTGTACTAGACATTGTGGTGATATATTGTTTATGTTCTAACAAAGCTTGCCTGGAGATCAGAGATTAGGGCAGGCAAACTGTAAACCTTGGTGAAGGGGAAACATGTCCTTTATTTAGTAAGTAGTCACATGGCAGCCGAGCAGCCCCATGTGGTGCAAAAAGTGGGGGAGGGGAGTGTCTGGGAAAATGAGGGAATCAAAGTGTCCAGGAAAACATGTTTCAGAAAGAGAAGGAGAAGGAAAAGACAAAGCTGTCCAGGCTGATCACACGCTGTATGTACATCCTCATCCAGGGTCATTGTCTCAGGTGAGAGGGGCTGTGAGTGGGAGGAGCTTAAGAATCCCTGATGTAGAACACCTTTGTCTCCATAAGCCACGTGTCATGATGTCTACAGCCCACTGACCAACAGCTTATGTGTAGTATATAAATAACAGACAGGTAAGCCACCCTTGGATGGAAATGTCAGCTACTGCTTAGCCCAGACGACCTCCCTCCAGGTTGAGGTGCTTGTTTACCTGTATGGGATGTGGAGTCCTTTTGCTTTAGCATTTACCCTCAAAGTGGATAAAACTGCCACTTTGTAAAGTGCAAGCTAGGAGGCTGTTAGCTTTACATAGTATAGAGTAGCTCAGAGCAGAGCTGGCTGGATCAGATCTCCATTCTAGGAGCAGATTCGTCTACTGATGAGTGACATAGCCAAACACACACACACACACACACACACACACACACACACACACACACACACACACCTCTTGAGAGGGAAGCCATAGAGCTTTTTGGCTTCTCCCATGGGAAGAGTGAGGGCTTTGGTGAGGACTGGAGGCAAGGTGGAAGGTGTTGGTGCATGGCTTACAGCACAGAATTACCACAAACTGGCCTGTGTGTGTGTGTGTGTGTGTGTTCACTCAGGCACGCACATGAGTGGTCAGTCTCATAGAGGAGGGAAAATGACCCCCTCTTCCAATCTTGTACCTAAAGAGCCATATCTAGGTTTCCTCCCAGTTGTGTTATTTCTCCTGGGAGATATACGGATGCACCAATTTACCCCAGGAAGGACTCTGACAAATCACGGAATCCATCCCATCCAGGTCCACTTTGTCACCCAGTGAGTTTAGTAGGATTACTTACAGGAACATTACTGAGGCAGGCACCTGCACATGTAACATAGGTGATGATTCTAGAAAATTCTATTACTCACTGGAGTCAGATTGTCCCGCTCCCCCCTCCCAAACCCCACCCACCCTTCCCCTCCTCTCAAGGGAATGTTAATGGGCCCTGAAGTCTCCAGCAGGTGGTCATAGTAGCCCTCATTCCAGAGAGCAGGGGGCCAATCTGAAGGAATCAGCAGCTAGCCAGAACACCCTCTTGTCAATAGTTACCGATTAACTCTTGTGAGGACCGGAGTTAGAGCTCTAGAACCCACCTAAAAAGGTTGGACATTCGTGTTTGTATTCTCAGCAGAGGGGAGGTTGAAAAATAGGATCTCTGGGGTCTCCTGGCCAGTTAGCCTAACCTGTTTAGTGGACAGTACTGGAAGAAAGAGGCTATTTGGCTTATGCAAGCGCAGACTCAAGAGTGTGCTCGCGCGCGCGCACACACACACACACACACATCCACAACGACAACAACAAAATCCTAATTATAAAAATAAAAAGAGGGAGGGAGAGACGGAAAGAGCGGGATCTCAGACGCTACGATGGAACAAGCTTGTAATCCTAGCGTTTGCCAAAAGGCAGAGGGAAAAATCATAAGTTCGAAGCCAATCTGGGTCACGTGACCCGGCCTCAACCCACATAATGTAAATTCTGATGCCGGGCACACAATCCTAGCTTTTGGAAAGCGGAAGCGGGAGGATCCAAAGTTGAAAGCTGCCTTAAGCTACACACTAAACTCAAGGCCCCTCAGTCTGTATTGCATGAGACCTTGTTTCAACAAAACAAAACAGGAAAACTAGCTCGGGATTTAGGAAGCAATGTCACTAAGGAAGACTACCCTCCCCTGTAAACGTCTTTCTCTAACAGAAGTCTAGATCTACGAGGCTGGGTCTATCTGCGAGTCCTCAGGCTTCTTCAGGCCTCTAAGTCTGGGAGGATGCTGACGAGGTTGGACTAAAGGCTTTAAAACTTTTAATTTCTGGAAGGTTTAAAGCAAAAAGATAATTTATAGAGAGTGGAAAAGCTCGAGAGGTAGGCCCTGAGCCCACCCAACCCCTGGGGAGGCTTGTCTGTCCAGGCGTTCCCACCCTGCTAGGAAGGGCAGCGTGGGTGGAACTTGGAAAGTGAATCAGCAGCTGGCAGAACCAGGCAGGGCTGGGCAGGGCAGAGCAACCACCCCGGGGCACGGAGTGTTCGGAGCGGAGCAGACACGGAGCAAGGTACACCCAGAGTGGTGCAGACGCCAGTCAGGAGCATCCTGGGCCCAGCAGGCTCGGGGCGGAGTGCACTCGGAAGGAAGCAAACACCGGACAGGGCGCACCCGGAGTACAGCAGACTCGGGGCGGGGAGCAGCCTGAGCCCAGCCAACATGGGGCGGGGCGCACTCGGGCAGTAGCAGCTCGGGGCGTGGTCGGGGCGTGGCCCGGCCGGCGGGAAGGCGGAAGGACTCTTTGGACCTTGAGCTCCTGGTTCTCATCCACGAGAACCCGCAGTCCCCCAGGCCCCACAAGTCCAGGACTGCAGTATGGAGGCCGGGCTGCTGTGGTTCTGCAACTGGAGCACTCTGGGCGTGTGCGCCGCGCTCAAGCTGCCGCAGATCTACGCGCAGCTGGCCGCGCGCAGCGCGCGGGGCATCAGCCTCCCCAGTTTACTTCTGGAGCTGGTGGGGTAAGGCCCTGGGAGGCCAAGGGTTAATTCGGGGGACTTGGGGGCTGGGAGGCGCTTTCCTGGGCTCTCCCACACACCTCCCTTGCTTCTCCCCCAAATCTCAGGAAGTACGAATTCCTGTGCACACCCATTTTAGAGATTCAGTAGACTCACCCCCCAATCCCGTCCACAGCGACAGCCTTCCTGCCGGGGGCGAAGGCATTTGCACCTGCAGTCCCGTTAATGTTCTTAACTTCACCCGGCACCACCTACATTTTCCCCCCAGCCTAGAGTCCTTTGCCTGTAAACCAGTGGTTGGGCTGTGATCGGAGTTGCAAGATTTGGTGATTCTGTGTGGGGAGTGGGAGGGGGAACTTGGGTCAGAGTTTAAAAATTGGGCTGGGGTCCAACACACAGAGTTGGACAGTGACTGCTACGGAAGCCAAGTTCCGTAGCAGTGACCTTGGCCAAGGAGTTAAGAGGCAAAATTGTGAAACTTTGGCTTCTGGGGAAAACAAATGGGAAAGATCGCGTCCCTGAGTCGCGCGATCTGGCACCAGGCAGAGAGCCCTCTAGGTTTGTCACCAGCCCCACCCCGCTGTCATCCACCCGGAGGAGCGCGCGCTTCTGATGGGGTGGGCTACAAAGTGCACCTTTTCAGAGAGGCTTGGTGGGCCGGCGGGAGGGTCCCTGGTCCGTTGGCTGCACAGAGAGGGAGAGACTGACAGGGTGATGGTTAAAGTACGATACTGAAGGATGCACAAGTGACAGTCTGGCTGGGGCAGAGGGTGCGGGAGTTGGAAGTCAGGAGAGCCATTTGGCCTCTAGCTCGCTAAGTTCTTCGCGAGCATGAAGCTAGGGCTTCAGGGTGCAGACTGAATAGAAAGTTCATGGATGCCTACAGAGCACTGACCTGTCCTGCCTGTAGCTCCCTCCCTCTTTGTTGCCTGGCTTTAAACATGCAGACCCAATCAGGAATCCGTCTCAAATCCAACAGCGGATCCTGGTAGAAAACAGTTCTGGCCGTGGAATGTTTCCTGGGACCCGGATGGGTCGTGCAGTCTACCTATCGCGATACGGATAAAGCATGCTCTTCCTGGAAATCTCAACCGCCTCTCTTCCTTGGGGCAGTGGGCGGGCAGCTACAGCAGGTTTCTGTAATTAGGTTTGGCAGGGTTAAGACCAGCTTTGAGGCCAGAAGGCGTGGGTATGTTCTACCACTGAAATCCAATAGTTATTTATCCCTTCTTTGGCTAGCAGTTTACTACAATAGTTCCCAGTTCGTGAGAACTTTCCGAAGGGCCTCCTGGGTCGCTACACGCATTCCCTTAACCAACCTCACCGCAGCTGTAGGTGAGAGCTGTTGTAATTCTGAGGTGGGAACAATAGGAATAGGAGGGCAACCCAGCCTGGTCCTGCTTTCTGAGTTCTGACTCCTTCCTTCTGCCCTCCTCTCACTTTCCCCCTCTTTCTCCCTTCATGGATAGGGTGGTCACTTCTATTCTCTTTCCCTCTGGACCTTGTCTGGTTGCCTGCCTGTCCCTCACCGGTTAGGTGGGCTCTGAGGCATCAGGAAGACCCTAATGGCCACCACCATCAGTCAGCATCAGTCCCTGCATCCTCCAGGGACTGAACACTTTTTGGAGACATGGACCCTCCTTTAATTTTTGATCTGAGAGCTCAAACTCTAAAATTCTGATTTCAGGGAATTGGATCTTGGCCAGAGGCTATTTTAATGACACCGGATACTCCATGTCTGGTTGACGATTGCTTTACACAGAAACCTTAAAAACAGAAAAGCATACATTATCCCCAGAGCACAGGATGTATGAGGTTTGGGTCCCCCTAAAAGCATAGCAGCAGGACTAGGGCAACACCTCAGGGGCAACACCCTTGAGTTCTTGTGTTCTTTGGATCTTAGTTTCCCTAAGTGATCTTTTTGATGTAGGTGACCCCTAACACTCAAGGTCTCTTGGACCTGCCAAATGGGTCTCTGACAAAATTGCCGAAGGTCTGCCCTCAGGTTAGTCACAAGTGTGGTGAAGACCACATGCTCTAGTGTTGGGTAAATCTGGGGTCTGGAGGGTCGCAGGGTGAGCTGTGAATATCTCTATGTCCTGACTCCAGGTTCCTGATATTCTTTCGCTACCAATGTTACTATGGGAACCCGCTGCTCACCTACCTGGAATACCCCATCCTCATTGTTCAAGGTAACTGGCCCCCACCCCACCCCACCCTCAGCCTGCCCTCCTGCTGCCTTGCTCACCTCAGTCTCTTCTTCCAGACATCATCCTCCTGCTCTTTGTCTTTCACTTCAACGGGAACCTGAGGCAGGCCTTGCCCTATGCAGTGGTGTATCCTTCCAGCATCTGAGATGGCGATGGAGGTGGAGGGGCTCAGTGACTCAACTGGTTCTGCATTCTGTCCTCAGCACCAAAGAGGAAGGGGGGGGGACACTCCGTGTGTTATTTGCTAAAATTATGCATTGTGAAACAAGGTCATCTTTTATTTTTAACTAAAAAAGAGTCATAAAATGGGAAGTCTTTACCCAGACCTTAGGTTAGTACAGTTGCTGCCAGTGGTGTCCCTCTAACAGGATACCTACTGCCCTCTGAGACCATCTAGGGTACAGATTTGTTGTGTCTCTGCTGAACAAGAGAGGTGTACAGTCACCCTGCTAAGAGGAACACACCCTGCCTGTGCTCCCAGGCACTCACTCCTTCCTTCAGTGAGCAAGGGATTAGTAACACGAGAGTGCCTGGCACCAAGCCCCAGGCAGGATGCACCTGGCAGGTGGTTGTCAGTAGGCATGGGCCAGATGGGGGTAGTTTTCAGCCAAGCATGCACTTATGTAGAATTGTACTTTAGAGGCAGAGGCTTGTCTGGGTGGCCATGTTGGTTTGTAGACTTTTTAACTCTGCAAGAGTGCCAGCCAACAGACTGTTCCCCGGTGGTGTCTTCTATGCAGAGGGTTAGGTTTCATGTCTGCCTTTTTTCCATAAGGATTTGGTGTCACTTTTCTTCATACTCCTTAAAAACAAGGCCAAGAGTGTTTGCATGGCAATGGCAGTCAGCTAATCCTGCTGCCTCCATGACAGTGGGAGGCCCAGGGTTTGGGAAGTCTTCACTACAAACTGTCTCAGATTGCTATTAGCCCTGACTCAGGCTCCCCTCTCCATAGAAACAGGAAGAGCAGGGCTGTGTTCCACTTCTGCTCCTTTTTTTTTTTTTTTTCTTTTCCTTCATCTCCCTGGGTAGCCAGGGATAACCTGAACTGCCCATCCCCCAGCCTCCAGCCTCCAGCTCCCAAATGCTGGGATTACAGACATGCACCACTACACTTTGCATAGAACATGTTTTGGTGCAACTGGATTCTGGCCATCCCTGTGGGCCAAACTGTGTTTAATTCTGCTGCCTCCTGGCATGGGCCATCTCTAATTTAATCCCTTCACTTACTTAATGTAGCCATTGTTTTCTGCCACCTTTGGAGTTCCTCTGATAGCGTGTGGGAGGTAGACAGGGCAGGGAATGAACCCTGAGGCAGAGAAGCAGGGAGAGACTTGTTTCTACCAGCCACTTCTGCCCTCACTATGGCTTCCCTCAGCCCTCATGGCTTGATCTTTCTGCTCTGGTTGGGCTCTTTTTGATTCAAGCAGTCACTGTACAGGCCAGATGAAAAATGGTTCCTCCTTGCCTAACATCATCCCACCTACTGTGCTTTACGGCAGAGTTAGTGGGAAAGAGGTGTAGATTCAGTAAAAAGTTCATACAGCACACCGGTTTTGCAGAACATCTCTCCTGTGAATGGCTGAACCTTTCTTTTTTCTTTTCTTTTTTTTTTTTGGCTGAACCTTTCTTGTAGGTGCTTAGAGATGTCTGCGTGGTCAGAAAACCAGCATGTAGCTACAGCTGTAAGAATATTCCCAGCCCCAGGTTATAGTCTGTGAACACAGATCTGTGCGTTTTCTTCCACAATTTTCTTCCGTTCTTTTGAACTCAGAGCAGATGTTCACATGCAACCCCTAGTATCTTCTCCAAACTGGACACTGTCCAGCAGAACATCCCCCGAACCCCCTCAGCTTCTGTGTCACCCTCTGTGGTCTGGCTTGGTCTGCAGAGAACAAGAAGGGAGAGGTGGGTGGGGCTGCCAGTGACTCACTGCTAATTCCCTTAGCACTTGGCCAGATTTGTGTCTTCTTGGTTTGTCCTCAGCTTGCAGAAATGGATCATCGACCTGGCCATGGTGAGTGGTGCCCCTGAAAGCAGATACCTTCTTTTCTGCCCCTACATCATTTTAGAGCAGAGGTTCTCAAACTTCCTAATGCTGTGACCCTTTAACACAGTTTTTCATGTTGTGGTGACTCCCAAGTATAACATTATTGTCACTGCCACTTTGTAACTGTCATTTTACTACTATTATGAATTGTAATGTAAATATCTGTGTTTTCTGGTGGTGGAAGCAACTCCTGTGAAAGGGCTGTCAGATACCACCGAAGGGTTAGAGACCCACAGGTTGAGAACAGCTGCTTTAGAGCATGGTGTTTCATCCATTCTTTGAAGCTATGCTGAGGCAGATGAAAAGGCAAAGCCAGTCAAATATTCAGACATTATTCTTGAAAGGTTTGGGGCTCAAGGGAACACTAAGAAGGACGCCCCCTTTTGTGTATGGATGCATGCATGTGGAGATTTGTAAGTCATCTCCTTCCATCTTGTGGATTTCAGGGATTGATTTAGGTCGTCCGGTACTTCTCATGCCCCGACGCAGTTTATTCACACCTCAGCTTGCTGGTCCCCTGCCTGCACTGGACTGTTTTGTGGGATAACACGATGTGCCCTCCTTATGAGTTCTCTTATGGCCTGGTCCCAGACTACCCCTTCATTTCAAAGTTTTTTATTGAAAAGCTGCAACCCACTTTTGGTTTCATCCCCTCTTTTGGCTCTTCCCCACCACATTAAGCTGGCTCTACCACTTTCCTTTGCCTTATCCAGCACCCCAATTTCTAAGAGCTTTGTTTTATCACAGGCTTCCTTGCTTGGGTCCAGCCTTCCTGCAGGCTATCTGTACCCAGCTCCCACTGTAGCTTTTATCTGTTTAAGCCTGGCAATGTCAATTCTCCCTCTTCTGCCCAGACACACCCCACACTCCATGCTCCACGATTCTTCCCTGTGTAGCACCATCTTTCACCCATGAGGACTTCTGGAGGCCAGCTAGGTGCCCACACCATACAAGCGCTGTTGCCCCCAGCAGGAAGCAGAGCCTATCAAGCACCTGCCCTGTGACTGTCACTTTTTGAAAGCCAGCAGTCAGTCCCCATGCCACTCATCTCTCAAGTCTCAATATAGATCAGGATCTCTGTATCAGTCACTGGGTCCTCTTGCCTGGCTTTCAAACATCTCCCACGTTCCATGGTCCTTTCTACTTCATCTCCCCGACTTCTTGAATGCTGCTAATGCCATCCTGCTCAGCCCAGGTGACTGCAGTGGTCTCCCTCTGGTCTGAACTTAGCAGCTGCTATGGAAATGCAGCCTGATGGGTTGACAACCAATGTGCAAGGCTTTCTAGGCTGAGAGCTGAGGACACAGTACTCAAAACGAGGAATAGTTTGGAAGTTGAGCTGTTTAGTGACAGGCTGGGATACACCATCCCTATTCCTGGGAGAGAGTAGAAGACAGGGTGTTTCTGTAGCCAGGCCTTAGACTAGCTCTGGCCAGTTCACTCCCTACTACAGAGGCAGTTGAGGGTCATTCTTCACCAAATTTAAGTTTCAAACCTTGGTAGGTTTGAGACTGCTAGACCTGAAAGTTTGGCTTAAACAGCACTGTGTCTGGGCTGATTGGACAACTCAGGCGACAAGCCAGAATATCTGAGTTCAATCCCCAGGACCACATGGTGGAAGGAGAAGTAGCTTCTACAAGTTATACCCTCTCCAGAGTGAGCATGTGTGCATGTGCGTGTGTGCGTGCATTATATCCAGACCTATAGCTTTTTAGGCTCCTGACTCTCATTTTTTCTTTTTTCTACAAAAGAACCTAAGCACAGTCATCTGTGTGGCCAGTAAGTTTGCCCAGCTTCAGTATCTGTGGAAGGTCCAGGACTCGGAAGCTGTGAGCGCACTGACCTGGGGCCTCTCTGCCTACACCTGTGCAAGTAAGGTCACCACTCTCCAGGGACTCAGTTTTATCAGCACCAGGGGCTCCCTGGCATTGAGTGTTCCAGGTCTTTTGCATACAAAGGCTTTTGTAATTAGCTACTCAACAGAACCTGCTAAGGAAGGGTACCCCTGTACACAAGCAGCCATCACACAGACTGTGGCTTCAACTGTCCCCCAGGGTACTGTTCACTACAAAGGGGTGTTGACTGAGAAAGGAGCTAAACAAAAGAACTCAGGTTAGACAGGAAGAGCTTGTCTTCTCCATGCCTTGGTTTTTTTTACCTGTGAAAAATGGGGTGGAAAGTTCAGTGCTTAAAGAATTTCTGTCAAGTGTGGTAGTGCATGCCTTTAATCCCAGGGCTCAGTAGGCAGAGGCAGGTGGGTCTCTGGGAGTTCAGGGTCTGCCAGTGATACACAGTGAGACCCTGTCTTGGAAATGTATACTTTTAAAAACAACATTTTTGCTTAGTTTCATGTATATGGGTGTTTTACCTAAATTTATGTATGTGCATCACATCCAGGCCTAGTGCCCTCAAGGCCAGAAGAGAGGGTCAGATTCTCTGGGACTGGGGTTATATGCTTCTACGTGGGTGCTGAGAAGCGACCCCAGGTCATCTGGAAGAGCAGCTAGTGCTGACCACTGAGCCATCATCTCTCCAGCCTCTCCACCCCCACACTTTTTAACAAGTGGGAGCCTTCAAGGAAAATACCTATAAGCTCAATATGCAAATGAAAAAAGATTGTTTTGTTTGTTTTTTGGGTTGTGAGCACAGGGAGGGATGGCAGCTTTCCCTGGCAGAGCTGAGATACTGGTTAAAAAAAAAAAAACAAAAAACAAACAAACAAACAAAAAAAAAAACCCCTGGCTTTTTCGAACAGCTTCCAAGCTTCCAATGACTGGGCCAGGGCCAGAGTCAGAGCACACGGCTGTTCATTAGATGGTTGAACAATATTAACAAGGGTCCCATATCAAGGTCATTCAAGAAGTTGGCATTATTATTACTATACTATAGTAAAATGGAAAGATGTGAGCTAAAGAGAAATACCAAAGTGTGTGAGAAGCAAGTTATTTATTGCTATTTTCCTTTACAGCAAGAATAATAACAACTTTAATGACCACCAATGATTTGACAAGTAAGCAAAAACTTTTTGACTTCATGTTTGCGGTTTTTGTTTGTTTTCTGTATGACTTGGATCTTGTTTTCTGTGTGATTTGGATCTAACATGGAACCCATCATATAATGCTTAACAGATCTATTTAGTTTGACTGGGCTATGGATTCAGTATAAAACAATGTACATTTAGTCTTCAGCAGTGACTTCTCTATTAAGTATCCACTCCTTGCAGTCCTTGGGGAGAAATATACCCAAGGGAGTCAATTCTCATTCTTGAGTTTCTACTTCAACAAGGAAATTGGGAAGGAGTCCCGCAGTTAACTGCTGAAGTATGCCATGAAGTGAAATGGGGTTTCAGAGTAGGAAGGCTGGGTGTGGTGGCACGGACTTACAGTCCCCTATACTTGAGCAGCTGAAGCAAACAAGCCAGACAGCCTGGGAGACCCAATCTCCAAAACAAAACAAAACAAAACAAAACAAAAAAAAAAAAAAAAAAAGAGGCCAGCAGGTCGGTAGCTGAGGAACCCAGACTATGTGAGCAGAGAGTAATCTGCAAAGTGAAGTCTTAAAGGCTGAATAAACATCTGATCAGAGGAGGAACACATGAGAAGGTGCCAGGGCTGGTTACACTGGAGTGCAGGGCATAGGAGAGAGAGGGAAGGAGAGGAGGGAAGTGAAACTGGCAGGAGCAGAGAAGTCAGAACTATAGACACTCCTGTGAGCAGTAAGACACCTGCAGCTGTGTTTGCAAGCAATGGCTCAAGTAGCACCATTTGCTACATGCTCACACAGGAAGAGGGGTGTGTGTGTGTGTGTGTGTGTGTGTGTGTGTGTGTGTGTGTGTGTGTGTAAGAAGCTGAGAGAAGATACTCTGGTTAAGTGAATGAGAATTCATCCCTTCTGCTGTTTTCAACTTCCAACACAACATCTTTGCAAAGTGACAAAACAGCTCTGACTTCAGTGATGTGATGGAAAAGGAGACAGACCTAACTCTTCTCTGCACAGGAGGAAAAGTAATGTAATTAAACAGCATAGAGCCTACATATAAAAAGCCTGCATTATAAGATCAAGACTCCCACTGCAGTCTGTTTCTTATCTGTTACCAGCACTCAAGAGGCACAGGCAGGCAGTTTTCTGTGAATTCGAGGCCAGCCTGGTCTACAGAGCAAGTCAGGACTGTTCACATAGAGAACCTGTCCAAAATAAAGTGTGGCTAGATGCTTTATGTGTTTTATCATTCCAAGGAAATCTCAGAAGTCGGGTGGGACTGTAGTTCATTTGGAGAGGTGGCTTACCATGCATGTGGGGAACCCTGGCTTCAAACTTCAATACTTCCTAAAACTGTGACCCCAGCACCTGGGAGGCAGATGCAGGAGAATCTGGAGCTTAAAGTTACCCTTCAGCTACAGAGTTAGTGAGACCCTGTCACAACACAAACATAAGCCTTCATGTCTTAAAAGGGCAAGTTAGACCACTGTTCTGGTCTATCAGCCACAAGTTTTCATTGTCACTTCATTACACAACGTGTACCAACACAGGGCTGATTTCTCAGAAATACTTTTATGTGATGTGGAAATTCTGCTGTGCTTTTCCCTTCTGCCTCAGCCTCCTTCGTGGGTCTACAGGCAGGGTCCAGAATACTGTACTAGAATGGTCTTCATAGAGTGCAGCATTCTGAGACACCCCGTGTCCTAAAGACATAAGTGAAGGGGGTCTTAGTTGCATGTCTTAGCCACAGCCAGAGCACTTCAATGAAGCATGGAGGATGCAAGGCTAAGTGCCTAGGTGGTATTTCTACAGTAAGTCCTTTCCCAGGAAATGTCTGAACCAATGTTGTGAGTCTCATGATCTTGTCGTTTTGTTTGGGGTTGGGGTGACACTTTACGTAGGCTTCCACTGAAAAAAGCAGTATAATGTCCAGATTTTAATGTCAAAACTTTTTTTTTTTATTTCAGTTCTCGCCCGTTTTGTGATCATTTTGGCTTTAAACATATGGGTAACAGCAACAGTACTGCGCTATAGGAAGCCTGCCACCAAAGCCGAATGATGGACGCATTTTCACACAGTGGGCTTCAAATGACTGAACAAGGGACACACCGTTTACCAGTCAATCATTTCAGAAACTTTAAATCAGGTTTGTTCGAGTTGAAAAGCATCTTAGCTAGATATGGAAGTGCAAACCTACACTCCTAGCACTTGGGCCACACAGCAGACTAAGAAAAGGAAAGAGCCACTTGTTTAAAAATGCCCTCTTCCTTCCCCTACTCCCATAGTAGGGCTTAGGTGGTTTGAGATAAGATCTCCCTACATAGCCCAAACTATCCTTCAGTTTGTGTGTGTGCACATGTGAGTGCTGGGCTACAGAGTGGACCACCGCACCAGGCTTGACACCTACAAGGATGGAAGCTGCCCAAGAAACCATTTTAACCCTGAAAGTTAGGACTAAGTTCTCTCTGAAGGGTCTTTCAGAATCTTAAATAGTCTTCCCATAGGAGTTCAGTCTGCCCAGTCACACCTGGACAGTTTAACCCTTCTATGACCAAGGGCTTGGCCTTGCATGTCATAATGCAAGTGAGGCTATCACAGTGCACACAGGCGTTGCTGGGTCTATAGTATGCCCCAACACTTCACAGTATGCCTTACACCGTTCTTAGCAGATCCCTGTTCTCTGTTTAGAGGAGGAAATCACAAGAGTCTTCCTGATTTGAGCACAATGCAGTGTATATATATATATGCCATACCTCACAGTTACACTGCTGGAACTTAGTATAGGTTTTAGCCACTGGAAGGTATGCAGTAAAGAGTACTGCTAAGTCTTACCAAATTCTTGGGGATTTTATTCTTACTAAAGTAACATATCCTAAGTATTGTTTTATAAACCTAACACTTGAAAGTGTACTTTCTTCTATATGCATGTCATTATTCTGGCATATTGTAAGTAGATAATGTTTACTGGAAAATGTTTAGTTTCCTATATAAAATAAACTTTCATTTCTGCAATTCTACTGAATCTTAAGTTATGAATTTTCAGTTATATAGGTACAGCTCCTTAGCAAGCTAGCTAATCATGTTAGGGCAATTGCTCTGGACCCAGAGGAGAGAAATTCTACATCTGAACAAACCATTCTATGGTTATTTCAACCAGTGTCAGAAAACAAAACCCAAATTCATCTTTCGTCATATACACTGTCAATCAGATCATTAGTTTAATATAAATTATGGTCCTCACCCCAATTGTTTCAGATGTATTCAATCAGGGCTTTTATTTTACCACTGCTTACAGCACTTCTTTTAAATAAAAACTTCCAAGCTGGCCTCATGCTCATCTTCCTGCCTCCATCCCTTTGGCAAATTCTACCAGCATCATCATCACCACAGCTGGTGGGAACATCTGAGCTACTGCAGCCATCTCACATGCACTACCACATTTCAAGCCAACAGTCCCTGAAAGGCAGATAGTTTCCATTTTATAGACGAATGCATTCAGAGAATACCTGACCCATGACCAGGGGACGGCCAATGATTACCAGGAAAACGCTTTCTCGAAGATGCCCACCACACTATTTTTCAGACAGAAACACACCCTGTGTCCTCTACTGTTATGAGTAGGTTTTTCTCTGCCAGTCTGGTCCCACCGCCACGTCAGCCCCAATTAACACACAGAGACTCTGTATTAGATATAACACTGTTGGCCAGTTACTAGTTTCTTATCGGCTAGCTCTGTCTTAATCTAAGTATTTCCAGGTGGTCTTATCTTACCGGAGAGAGCGGCTGGCGTTCTTTTCTCTCCGTCCTCCATCTTGGACCTCCTCCCTACTCTTTTCTCTCTCCTCCTTGTCTCCTAGTCCTATCTTGCTTTCCTATTGGCTAATAGTGCTTTATTCATTAACAAATATAAAAAACATATTTACAGAATGACATCACCCATCATTCTACCCTCCCAACCTTGACCCAGATGTGTAAGTCTACAAGCCCAGAATAACTCAGAGGCAGACTGCAGAACTTAAGGCAGAAAGAAGGGTCTCTCTCTGATGAAGTCACCCCCCCTTCTATCCACATCCTTTAGGGACAGGTTAAGAAGCTGCAGCACTCCACACTACTTCACAGAGAAAGATGTTTACATCTTAGGTTCTTTTATTTATTTTTCTTAAACAAAAAGCAGGCATAAAAATACAATTACATTACTACAAAGATGCAACAAAATAAAAAATAAATCAAGAGGGTATTTTTTTTTTTTTAAATGTTCAGGTGATCCAAGATGACTCTTTAAATCATGCCGTTTATAACTTATTACAGTTCCAAACAAAAGTCACCACAGGGAAGGGAACAGGGTGAGGCCACAGGGCACAACACTCAGCACTGTCATACAGTGCCTGTCAAAGTGCTTTAAGTTGGCGTGGCATCTCCACAAGCCAGGGAGGGAACTGAAGCCACCTTCAGGCAGGCAAGGAGAGTCAGTTCAGTAGCAGTCAGAGGGCCTGAGAGCAAGCTCAGAAGCTTTGTTCTATGTGGGGTTCAGCCGCTCAGAGCATCCCTATGAGGTTGATTAGTGTCTGAGTTTCTCCACGGCACCCTGGGAATCCTAACAGACTGACAGCAGCAGCAAGAACCGAAGCTCAAGCACTTCTTACTACATCTACACATGATGACACAAAGCCTCTGTTGGGCCCATGGCCTCTCAAAGGCTGGCCAGAAACACCAGGCTTTCCTTGGGATTACTAGCTCACCATCCTTTAGCTAGCTGTGGCATTTGAAACTTTTCAACTGCACTTAAAAAAAAAAAAAAAAAAATCTTGCTTTTCTAAAAGCAACACTTAAAATTTAATTTTATATTAATTTTCACCAGTAATTTTTACTTCCCTTTTTTATTTCCACAAAACACTCCATTTCTTCGAGGTCCCAACTGGAGGTATTTGTGGCTTGGGACAAACTGAATAAAGGAAGTAACATTTGCTCTGAAAATCATAAGCCTGAAGATTTGGGGCTCAAGAAAGAGTGAAACGGCACAATGTAGTTAGTGTGCCACTGCTGTGGTGACTGCTGGGTTGGGGAGAGAAATGGCAGGTATGTGCACCTACACACACACAAATGACAACGGGAAAAGCAAATACTTCCCTAAGGTCACAGTTTGTTTTTTTACTCGAAATTCTGTTAGTTGGACAAATGACCTTATAAATCCCCACATTAAACCGTATGTGAAAAAGCTCCATGGAGAGATTTTTTTTTACCCCTCAGAATGTTTTATTCCCCTGAATCCTTCACATTAAGTGTCACATACAGTTGCTGAATCACACCATGATTCTCCAAATTCTAATACATATATACACGCACAGCATCCAAATTTAAACTTCTGCTTTTTTTTACTCAAATACTTCAATTATTCATGTGTAAACTTGACATTTTACCTTAATAAAGTTTATTAAAAATATATATATATATACTCTCCAATTTCAGAATAGGATAGAACCTCCCATAGTGTAACAAAATCTTTATATAAAATATTAATTCAGTCTCCTTTTAAACAACTCTAATGAATGGAAATAGTTTTTCTATATAAATTTTATATATTTTCATTTTTAAATCTGGAAGGAGGAAGGAAGGAAGGAAGGAAGGAAGGAAGGAAGGAAGGAAGGAAGGAAGGAAGCTGTGTTCTGAATTAGAGCTACAGAGCACAGCTGCTTCCAGGGAAATGGCATGCACATCTAGTCTTAACAGACGGAATGAAAGAGGCAACTGGGCCATCTGAATTCAGGTCACAGAATTGGGATTTAGTATATCAGTAGGCCAAAGGCCACTACTTCCACAATAGAATCTATAAAGAAGATCAGACTTTTTACACCATCTCTACAGTGACCCCAGAGGGAAGCAATGTCAAATGTCACTAGCTTCACAGAAACCCTAGGCAACTGAACTTGGCATATGCAGAGTCTGACGCTGTTACTGCTGCACTCTGCAGCACTACAGGATAAGTCCCAGCTGCTCTCTAACCTCAACAGCACTGAGCAACGAGAATCAAAGCAAGCACTTTTGAGGATGCCTTTTCCCAGATACCAAAGCTGATACACCGCCATACAGCTGTTTGTTTCAGGGATCACATTTAAATATTAAAATATATCTACAGTACTTGTTAAGTTTTTTTTTTTTTTATATTTGAATCTTGAATGAAAATGTGAAAAATTACCTTTACCATAAATAATAACACATCTAGGGTAACCAGCAAGTTCAAAGCAAAGGAACTATTTTGTAGTCACAGACTAGCTGAAGTCTGTAAAAAGGGATGAAAAAATAACAGATGTACATCACACACATTAGTTTCAATACAACCGTTGTTGTTTCTATGACCAAATACATTAAAAACTGCCACAGACCAAATAGGCTGACGCTGACAAACTACTGTGTGTAAAAGATGCACTGTTTTCCCCACAAAGTGAGCTGTATCCTAAGAGCTGGTAAACACGTGTTCTTTCTTTTCTTAAATACCAAAAAGGGTTGAGATGGGGGGAGAGGGGGAGAAAATTAAATTAAGGCATTCAAAATGGGTAAAGTTGCCTACAACAAGCATTAGGAAACTGGAATAATTAACTTCAAACATCTTGTTACAGTTACTGTTTACACAAACATGCATCTCCTATCAGGTAGGATATAAATTCCAACATTATGGCTTTATACAAGTGCATAGTTGCAACTGAAGTAATGATATCTGATTAATGTGTATAAAAAAATAAAACGGTAAGTTAAAAATACCTTCTTGCAGTATTACAGTACAATGTGTTTTTTTATGTGTGGTGGTGTGTGTATATATATGAGGCTCAACTCATATGTACATACATACATACATGAACATAACATCATGGTCACTTCTTAAAGATGCAGTCAGCATCACTGTAGTGGGGTCCACTCCCAAATCCTTTTGGCTAATGTACAGATGAAAACCCTCTGTTGAAGCCAAAGTGTGATCTTTCTGAACTCTTCTCAGTCCTTCTGTGCCAACAGCTCTAGGAAGCAAGTCTTGAAGAGTTGCATGACACTGTACTCACCAATCACTGTTGTTCAACTTGTTTCAAAGCAGCCCAGAAAAATCCATGATTTAAAATTATTTCAGGGGAAAGGAAATATGTGTAAGTGGGTGTGTCAGTCTCTCAGTAGAATACAGCTTTTTAGTTTTGAGACATGTTTCAGTCTTGAAGCTGGAAGAATGCAATCACCTGAGTAACTGCTTTCATAGAAGGCAGTTAGCTAGAAAGGAAGGAAAATAACGTCAGCTGACATAGTCAAGTAAGAGACTGTAAATTCCCTGAAAAGGCATTTTACTTTTTATCACTAAACTAGTATTTCTTCTGTATTTCTAACACTCAATTCATGCATTAACATACTCAATTGTGTTACTTTTCTTAATTAAGTACATGCAATGATTTTTTTTCTAAACACAACAATGGACTTTTAGGTCCCATAGTGGCCATAAACATTTAATGGGTTAATGGGTCTCAAACAGAGGGTCATGATCCCATTGGCAAGCCTCTATCTCAAAAATTATTTACATTACGATTCATAATAGTAGGAAGGTTATGAAGTAGCTATGAAAATAATTTATGGTTGGGAGACAGCGTAGCATGAAGGACTGTAAAGGGTCACAGTCTTAGGAAGGTGGAGAAACGCCTGTACTACAAGTTTCAGCACTCAACTACTAGCTGCCTTATGTAGCCAAAAAAAAAAAAAAAAAAAAAAAAAAACAGAATTCATAGTCAGGCTTTACATAGCTATAGGACCTCAAGCCACATTTTTCATATCTACAAAATAGGAATAAAAGGGCTAGTCTCTAGCCACTAAAAGTACAGCTCAGGGGTACAACATTTGTCTAGCAAGCCCAAGGCTCTGGGTTCTAGCCTCCCCTACCACAAAACAAAATAAAGATGCTAAAAGAGGAATAAACACATAATATGCATATGTAGGCAGTCACAAGTCTGTACATAGAGATCACAATATCACAGGATGTAAGTACATGACCTCACAACATGCTCCATTGAGACAGACTACTTGTTAGATAGTCTACTCTACATGAAGATTTAAAATCATGAAGCTTAATTTTCTTCCCTTTAGTTATTTAGCAAATCATTCTACACTCTCCTTTTCTATCCTCTGAGGCAGGGTCTCACTAGCCTGCACTGGCATAGACCTCACAAGCTTTGGCACAGCCTGTTGAGTGGGAACTGCAGCCTTACATGTTGCAGTGACAGGATCTCATGTAGCCTAGACTACCCTCAAATCCACTCTGAGGCTGAAAGATGACCTTGGCCTCTCCATTTCTCTGCCCCCATCTCCCAAGTGTGGGGATTACAAATGTGCCACAATACCTGGCTTGACATTTCTTAAACGCATACAACTGTTCATAGCATGTCTTGCAAACATTTCATTGCACCACAAAGACAAATCAGAAAGACAGTTCACTGAACTCAACAGATTTACAAAGTTTTAATTTTGCAAATTAGAAAGGAGAAGGAAGAAGAAGAAAAAGGCAAAAAACAAATCCATGCTATGTTCACAAACTGAAATGGAAAACACTGTTAAGTGTTAGCTCTCTGTATACAGCTTCTGATATAAATCAACAGCACCAGAGTTTTTTTTTTCCTTTTCTTATTTCTACATGCTTAATTTCTAAGATAAAATATTTAAACATCACTGAAAATTTATAGCAATGAAGAATCTGAACATAGCATTTCACCTTTACATTTATTTGCCACAGAAATTCTAGTTAGAAATATTTCTGAAAACTACTCTTTAAACATATCCTATTGAAAACATTTTATAAAGTCAAAACTAGTCCAAAAAAGGAGAAAAGTCCAAGTGCAAGCCACATGCACTACGGAAGCACTAAAAATCTCATTCATTTTTTGATTTACCCATTCATTTCTTCAGAAATCAAAAACATCGTCATCATCATCACCATCATCAACATCATCAAGTGACCAATCCCAGTCTTTAAATGCCAAATCAAGCAATCTGGAACAGGAGGTTGGCAAATTTATATGCTCTGTTCTTTATAGACTGTAGAACGTAGAAGAGAGTACTATGGCTGGAACATGCTGAGTACTGTAAGTTTCCTTTCTGTGGTGGCACACACCTTTAATCCCAGCAGGGGGGGATGAGGGATGGGGGCGTGAGAATGATGTTTCCCTTCAGGAGCACCATGGCAACGGCTCCAATAGAAGCACCCAGGAAATTTCTCCATTGGTATGTGCGAGTGTGATATGTCAACTGGGCACAATGCAGAAGGGCTCTCTGGAGGAACCCAAGACTAACTGGGTAAGAATATAATTTATTCTTCACACTCAGTCCTACTGTCCAGATAAAGATGTAGCTACCCTGACTTTCCGTTTGAGAAGTACAAAAGGAACTAAATTATCAGTTGACATTGCTTTTTGTTGTTGTTTAATAAATAACACCGTAAAAGATAAACTTTGAAAGGGAACAACAGGAAAAACACAGCTCTCTCAATTTTTGAAGGCCCCCATCTGCTGAGCAGTCAACGACAGCTATGTTCTAATACGGAAACTAGGACAAGAGAAAGCATGGAAAGAGGCACTGTCAATTTAACTTGGCTAAATGATTGAATACAACACTGGAGGATGAATCAGTTTTTTTAATTAAAAATTTTAGTACACTATTCTCTTCAGATTGTATAAACCTTTTGCTTTTTTAAAATTACACTTATTTACTTATTGTGTGCTCACATACCCACATGCCATGGAAGTTGCCTGAAGGTCACAGGGTATGAGGGATGGTGTCTTTAGCCACTAAGCTATCTCACAGCCCCTGATCTACTCTTTGCTATTAAATGATCTAAATTGTGACACTACAGTCACCTTTAGATGGGGAGGGAGCTCATGGACTTCTGGTCCCCAAGGTTACAGCCGTGACTACCATATCAGTAGCTATGAACCTTTGTGTGGAGGAAAGTCCTCTCAGACCTCACTCTAAGATCTGGATATCACTGGTAGAAGTAGGAAGGCCTCATTATTTGAATGTTTAAATAACCTGAATTTTTATTTTGTTTTCCAGACAAAGTCTTATGTAGCCTAGGTTGGCCTCAATGTTAGTATGCAGGCCTTGAACTCCTCCTGATCCCCCTGCCTCTGCCTCACAAGTCTTAGGATTACAAGTATGTAATCCTAGCTACCCATGCTTGCACAAGTGCTCTTACCCACTGGGTCATTTCCCTAGTTCCCCAGTGTTGCAAACTTATGTTTAAAACTATATATAGACATTTGGTTATTAGTGCAAATATATGACTTCCCTTAAAACATCTCCTTCATTCTTTTCCACTCAGTCATATAATTCAATTTTTTCTTCTCCACATATTTTCACTGTCACTTGGTTTTGATGTTGGTAAGTCATTGAGAAACTTATATCAAAACAATTAAGTCAAAATTCCTTGAGTCATTCTTTCTCTCAGAGATCACATTACCACCGTCTACTGGCTGTCCCTGCCCTGCCCTAGTCTCAGTACAACAGAACATTATATACACACAGAGTATGGCTTTAACTTAACTTTAATCAAACCCAGTAAGGTTGAGTCTGTCTGTCTGTCTCTCTAAAGACAGGGTCTCATTACGTAGCCCTTGAACGCAGAGATCTACCTGCCTGCCTATCTCCCAAGTGCTGGGATTAAAGACTTGCACCTCCTGACCAAGATAACACTAAAAGTACACTTCCAAATCCATCTTTATGCCATCAATTTCTGCTTTCATCATTGTCAAACAGTGGAGTTGACAGCTAAGAGTTCAGTCTTTGAAACTAGTTTATTTGGAACTGAATACCTGGTCCTTGGGCACATAATCTTCGTGCACTTAGGAGACAGAAACAAGCAGATCTCTGTCTGGATATGACCCCTAGGTCTATTTGTTGGAAATATCCCAAGTGGCAGTGTTGTCATTTCAGAGGTGAGTGGGTTCCTTGGCAATAGTTGTTATACAATCAATCTTTCCTGGGCAAGCCTGCTATGCACACTATGCCCTCTGCCAAGTCATGGTGTGCAGGAAACCTTTACTGGATGATACTGTCATGCTGTTAGAAGCATGACATACTTCAGAACCATCAATAAACTTACACTTTTTAGTTTTACCCAATCTGAGCATGAGCCACAGAAGACATGTGCATTGACAGTTGTACAATACTGATAACAGAAACTTAATTTTCAGACATTTTACAAGGGAACACACAAAATGGCCTTCAGTGTTTGTCTCTCAATTCTTTTAAGATTTTTTAAAAAGATTTAGTGTGTGTGTGTGTGTGTGTGTGTGTGCCCGCGCGCGCACAAGTGCAGTTGTGCAAGTCCAGAAGAGAGTGTTGGATACCCTGAATCTGTGGTAACATGCAGTTGTGAGCCACCTGAAGCCAGTCTAGGAACTAACTCATGCTCACCTAGGAGTAGTAATAGCTGATGAGCACCCTTTCTATCCTCCTTTAGAGATAGTGTCTGCCTATTAATTGTTGTGACCTACCTGCCGCCCTGTGTGCAGGTATTAATTATTCCTAAATCCAACCTGTTCAGTGTGAACCTTCTGAGAGCCTTTAGCTTAGTCACTATCATGTACTCACCACTATTTTACATTCATTTCACCACATTCCTTTTGTTTTGAGACAAGATCTCACTATGTAGCCCTGGCTGTCCTGGAACTCACTCTGTAGACCAGGCTGGCCTCAAACTCAGAGATCCATCTGCCTCTGCCTCCCAAGTGCTGGGATTAAAGGTGTGCATCACCATGCCCAGCTAATTTTATTTTGCACACTTAAAATATCCAACCATTTTTTGCACCGAAGCACCAATTCTACTTTTGCCACTCTAAATGATTTCCTTGAGATATTACTTCCAGAAAATTTCATATGAGAAATTTATGGTATCATTCATATACTGAAGGTCCTGTGTTAGGCAACAAAACATCTGAAATCAACTCCCTGACCTAGGTCAACACTTTGTCCATCAGCTAATCAAACCTTCACATTCAATGAAAAACAGTATTTATAAATGTCTAGCACCTAAATAAACCAAGAAATGGCTCTTCTGAATCCAAATGTTTAAGGAAGTGAAGTCAGTGAAGCCATATTAAATGGCTTCATCATTTCTCTATATTAAGATCACCCAACACTTCAGTTCCAAGCAATGCCCAGGTTAGTCAGCATGTGCACGTCAAGCTGAGCTGTACTGCTCTTTAAATCAGAAGCACCTTTGCATTTGTTTATGTAAATTACAACTGAAACAGCCTTCAGTTCTGCCTCTCAGATCACCTGACTAAAGCAAGTTTGCAACATGTGTGTGCAGATGACATGGGAACATCTGTATGTCATCTTAATGCCATCTTTCAAATCACTAATTAGTCCACGTGCTTATTAATGATGGAAATAGTATGATTATATACAAAAGTAATAAAATATCACTTTTAAGTTTTGGCTGAGTATGTATAATTTCTAAAATATATTTTTTAGCTACATCAGAGAATAAGACATATATACTCCAAGTTTAAAATATTTGGTTTCCAATGACTCATTAAAATATCAAGCAAAGGAAAATCATAATTATCCAAGTTTTGAGTCTGAACATAAAAAGCAATTTTTAAGAGAACAGCTTCAATGTTGTCACCCTGTTTTATTTATTACCTTGGCTTGTTTGGAGCAAGCTGTCGACTGGGCCGCCGAATGGACTGGTTCTGCTGTATTTTCATTGAGGCCCTTGGAGATGATCGGGCAAAAGGGTCTGGAGCTGGAGGCTTCTTCGGTATTTTTTTCACCAACCTGCTAACCCATTTCTGCTGTTCTTCTGTTGAGTTTGCTAATAACAATAGATTCTTTGCCGTTGATATATCATAATAAACTACAAAAAGGATTATTTGAAATGAGTTAATTAATGTGTTTAAACCGACCCAAGCCCAAGCAACAGCATAGCAAGCACTTCCTTGCTCACCTTTGCAGGGCGCTATTATCTCCTCCTTCTTGTCCATGTGGTCTTTATGACATTTAATGTGGCACCGGCGGCATTCCAGAGCAGGAGGGGGCTTAAACATGTGCCACAATGGCTTCATACAGGCCTCACAGTTAGTTGGGAAGTGATAAAGAGTAGGGATAAACTCATGTCCTTTGTGGCAAATATAATTAGATTTCTCTCCCACCGGCTCCGCTGGAAATTCTGGTTCCTTCTTACTTTCTCCTTCATTGGCATACAGAATCTATAAACACCAGGAGGACAGTAGTGACTGTTATATAAAGATTTATTTTATTTTATTAATATTTTGCCTACATGTATGTATGTGTACCACACATGCATGCCTGGTACTTTCAAGGGTCAGAAAAGGGCATCAAATCCCCTAGACCTAGGATACAGATGGTTGTGGGATATAGATGATGTGGGTGTTGGAAAACAAACCCAAGTCCTAGTTCTTAGCTTTTGAGTCATTTCTCCAGGCCTTTGAAGTTCAAACCTAATTAGGTTTACCTGATCAAGGGTTTATGTAAGCTAGAACTTGGCTCAACAGTTCTAGCGGCCTAAACCACATGAGGGGAAGACAGAGCTCATGTGAGAAAGAACTTATCTGTTTCAATGGAACCTCCTTGTTTTTGCTTTACTATCTTACTTTGCTATTGCAAACCTATCAAAATGGGCCAACAAAAGACAAATTTACACTTCAATGGGTGGGAGAGACATTTAGGACTAGAAGTTTAGCTCAGTGGAAGGTCAAAGCTCTGGGTTCAATCTCCAGTGTCGCTCCCAAACAATAAAAGCCCAATATGACAAGTAAGGTAATTGTTTACATTTCTCAATAATAGAAAAGTGGGTTAACTATGTGCACATTTTCATTTTAAAAGATATTTAGAGAGTTGAGGGATAAAAGGAAATGAGAAGATATGCAAATAGATGTCTGAATTAAAGAGCATAAGCACTCAGAAAAAAAAAGACAAAGTACTCTGGTTTTTATAGTCTGCTTTAATAATATTTTTAAAGGTGTGGTGTGCACGCACGCGCGTGCACGCGCACACACACACACACACACACACACACACACGAGCCCATAGAAGGGGCCAATGGATCTTATGGAGATGGAGTAACAGGTGGTTTGTGAGCTATCTGGTGTGAACCCTGGCGCTCTGGCAGAGCAGCAGTAAGAGCTCTTAACAACCAAGCCATCTGATCTCTCCAACCCTTAAGGTTTAAAGTTTTTAAAATGGAAGCCATAAAAGTAAAAGCTTGATTTCAAAGTGCTGCTACAGCTTTCAACTTGACAGTGACTTTAAAAGTTCCAGAGATGAGAGAGAATAAAAACAAAACAGGAACAAATTCATGCTCTAAAAAACAATCACCACCACCAATCTTGTGAAGGGGCCAACAAAGCCCAGAAGCATAACATAAACCACAAACACAACCACTAGGACCAGAGCTGTCTTCAACCAGAAGCAGCATACTGTAAGGAACCAACTATCTCAACTGGGGATGAGACAAAGGAAAGGTGGGAAGTAGTCCTAGGCCAATGAGAAAAGTAAAGCAAGTATGAACACCTCTAAGGGTGAAAAAACAGCAAGTTTACCTGGAATATCCTGGGAATTTCTTTAGCATCTGCTCTGTAAACATCTGTCTGGGTAACAGGTCGGACATGAAACAGCTTGCTATAGAAGATTTTTAAATAAAGGAATAAATAAAATATTACCCAAGGATTATATTACATTGGTCATCTTATACCAAGAGTTTAAAATCAGCTATTTTTACTGACTTATGTTGGAAGCTCATAGACTAGCTTGGTTTTTGCTGTTGTTCAAGACAGGATCAGTCTCGCTATGGCTATCCTGGAACTCAGTATTGTAGACCAGGTTGCCCTCAGAGAACCGCCTGCCTCTGCCTTTCAAGTACCAGGAATAAAAGCATGCTACTAACTGACTAGCTTATTTTATTGTTTCAATAATTTTTAAGGTAGAGAAATTTCCAAGCTGAACTTTCTTCAGAAAACAGTGTATGAAGGAGCTATGAAACACCGCCCACTTTCTTTCTGCAAAGAACTGCTATCTTAGCAGGGTGAGTCACACCATGGCTGCTGTGACAGAGCTCCTTTTACTCTCACAGACTTCAGCAGGAAACACTTACTCTATATCCAGAACCATGTAAGGGTTAGACTGCTCTTTATCTTGTTCACTGTCATAGAAGAGAATCTTCTTACTGCTTACAATCACATACTGTTAAGAACAGGAAAGGAAGAAATTGATCAAATCACTATGCGCTGTATTTCCTTTACAAGAAATTCTGTATTTGTGATAAAGTCATATGCCATGAAAGTAAATAAAAGGCAATAATTAAGCTTTAGGCACGATTTCCTTAAGGTAGCAACAGATTTCCTTACAGATTTTTATTTTATTTTTTATTTGAAGATATTTTAAATAATTAAATGAGGGGAAGAGACAAATGAAAACTAAAACAAGATCTATTTTAAGCTTTGGGATCTACACACAGAATGAAAATGCATCGCCCCTGATCAAAATGAACAGCTGTGGTAACACAGATATCAAGGGTCTTCCTAGCACAGCTACAGCAGTTTCCCAAAGAACACAAACACAGCAAAGGAACAGGCTTCTATTTAATGACCTTACAACCTGTTTAAGTAACGACCTAGAGAGTACAAGTCTTCCACACAGATAACAAGTTACATCAGTCCACACCAGAAAGCATACGCAAGTTTTATGTGTTCAGTCACATGTGCAGGCATATTCATTGCATTCCAGAAGGAAAATGATAACAGTTAAACTGGAAGCAAAACAAAAACAAACAAACAAAAAAACAAAAACAAACAAAAAAACCACACACACACATTCAAAAAGCACTTATTACCTTTTTAACCCATCCAAACTTCTTAGTGTTGTTTCGCACAGGCAATGACAACCATCCTTCTAATCTTGATTCTGTAAGTAAGCAAATATATTGAAAATAAAAACAATGATGCTCTCCCCAACAACAAAGAATTTAATAAAATTTTAATGTGGAAGTCACAAGCCAATCAAATCTGCCCTTTAGAATTTAGATCATATAGCACCCAGGTTACTATAATAATGCATAACCACTAGAAGCATATTATACTACACAATCCAAAACAAAACCAAGGTCACATCACATCAGAAATAAATGCTCCAAATCATAACATCAAACACTGCATTGGTTAAATCCATGCACTGGCAAAATTGAGGAGAAAAGCAGCACAAGAACCACTGAGCTCTTTACACTGCACTCTCTACATCAAACCATTCATTCCTCCTGTGGAGAATGCACTAACTAGAGGTGCAATGTGCACTGTTGAGTAGAAAGCACTCTAAATGAGTGTGTTCAGAAAACGCAATTTCAGAACAGCTATTCTAATTGTGTATAACACAGATCAAACCTGTTTAGCAAGCAACAATAATATAACCAAGATTTCTAAGCTCTAAAATATCAAAATCATTAAAATTATCTTAAGTCCTTGAACTCTGTTCTAACAAATTTGGTCAGGATGGCATCCAAGAGAATATCCTAATGCTACAAGTCGTTACAAATTGAACTATTATGTCCTCACAGTTCTATCCTTCATGCAATGAGGAAACGAGTCCAGAGAGACCAGTGAGAAACTCTGTGAGTCTAAAAGAATCTCTTGGGATTCTTTATCATTTCACCTGTGAGGCTTTTGGGAGTAAGAACCAGGCCAAATTGTTTCTTGTGCTCTTTTAAGGCTTAGCACACTATGAACACATATACTCAGTGAAAACCTGAACACATTCTCTGAAACAGGTCACGTGATTTTGTTCTTTTCTGTACTGTCCCTCTTGATATAGAAAACAGATGAAGCCATGCACTTTCAAGGATCTACAACATACTGTTTCATGTTTGGAAAGTTGACACAAATCAAACAATCTAGCAAATACAATCACAAGCTATTTGAAAAATTCCTTAAATTTGATTTACAGTTCATGCAACAGGTTTTTGTTTTTTCCTGCATCTACACAGCATATTGGAGAGAGTGGATGTTAGTTAATGTTTTTTAATTTTTCTTTTTTTTCAAAAAGACAAAATTAAGTAGCTGGGAAAACTCCAAAGATGGGAAGAGTTCCAGGATGTCACCTGCACCATTGGGCTCCGATGAAATGGGTAAGTAAGGCAAAGAATCTTCTTCAGAGTCAGAGTCAAGAAGCATGTGAGAGCTGGAGGGCTTAGTGGCAATACTGAGAGAAGTAGAGGAGCGCTGGTAGGTGAAGGACATGGACTCCAGAGTGTGTGACTGAGTGATACGGACTAAAGGCCCACAAGTGAGAAACAAGGCAGAGAGGAGAGAAGAAAACAATGAACGCCTAAAAGACAGAGAGCTGCATATAACATGAGTTACATACCTAAACATTAGAATTTCATTTACATGGCCGTTTTAATGAAACAAGTCCAAAATTTGTAAATCTCTACTATAGCAAGTAGATCTTCCCTTACAGAAACGACCAATCTTTTTCTCAAGAGCAAAGTCAGTCACGGAACTTAAAGCAGTCAGCTGACTTAAATTCGAGGGCTGACCAAAAATGTGTACCTGGAAATCCATCATCAGGCTCAACATCCCCTGGTGCACTTCCTATACTGGAACTGTCCATACCAATATGCAAGGCCTGCAGTTGGGACCGCAGCTGCTCAATGTCACTGTCTTTACTGTCCAGGGTCATCTGGAGTTCAATTCTAATCTGGCTCTCTTCTGCTATTTGCTGTAAGAAAATATATTAACAGATGAGATGTATACTATAACTGTGGGTCATAGTTCAGTAATAATTACTAATAGAAATATTCTGCAACCACACAGACAAGGAAATAATTCTGTTTTTAAGAATTGTTTTCATTGTAAGAGTATTCTTACAGCCTGCATTTCATTCAGTTCCTTCTGGTATTTGATCATCTGTTGTGTCAATTTTTCACGTTCAGACTTAAGCTCCATATGTAGTTTTCTGTTCTCTTTCTCTTTTCTTCGCACATCTGTGTCACTACCACGTTTGACAGGTTCTTTTCGATTCATGATCTCTGCCAATTTATTCACAGCCTTAAAAAAAAAGTAGACAATAAATAATTATGCAGATGTTTTCTCAGGAACTCATCAGTAATTCCTTTCCTATACACAGGGCTATAAAGAAACTTTTGAGCTCAGTCAGGAAGACCAGAGCTAAGATCCTTGGCACCCATGTACAAAGCCAGACATGGTGGTACATGCCTCTAACCTCAGTGCTGGGAAGGTAGAGACGGGAGGAACCCTCAAGTTCACTGGGTCAGCTAGTCTTGCCCATTCTGTGAGCTCTAGATTTGCTGAGACACTTTGTCTCAAAAAACAAGGTGGAGAGGGGCTGGAGAGATGGCTCAATGACTGAAACTGCTTCCAGTTTCCAGAGGGACTGACTTCAGTCCCCAGTACCCATGTCAGGCACTTTCAACCACTGCAGCTCCAGCTCCAGTAGACCCAACACTCTGTTCTGACTTCCCTGGACACAAGCTCACAAACAAATGAAGGCAGGTTGTTTCTGTTGCGGGGGGGGGGGGGGGGGGGGGGGGCAGTAGATTATAGGAAGACATTAGAAGCGGTATCTGGTCTCCACATGCATATACTCAATTCACACATATATACACATGCACATTCACACAAAAACACTTTTTACTTTATTTTTAAATAATAAACTTCTTTTACTATTATCCATCCTGTATTCTAAATAGTTTTCTATTCTCAATTTTTTGAGGATGATAGTTTAAAGTGTTTGAAAGGCTATGAATATAGCTTGGGTAGAATGCTTGCCTAGCATATGCCAGGTCCTAGACGTGTTTCCCAATAAATTACATGCTTGATCTGATGTCATTTTCTACTAATTCAACTTTTATTAGAAGAGAGATTTTAATAGGCAAATAGCCCTCCTCTTCTGTACTTTGTCCAAAAACAGAGAAAAGTACTAGCACATGTATGTTTTGCTACAAATACAACCGTGGGAGCTGGCAGAGGGGTTATCTATAATAATCAGACCCTCTGACTCTTTCCAGGCTATTAGCAAATAACAAGAAATTGGAAGAGAATGTGGGGCAGCTGAAGTTTCTTCTAACTCAACAAAAAGAATCCAGGAAATTGTCTACAATGGTGATAATGTGATGAGCAGAGCTTCTGCCCTGTAGAGTTAGAAGTAACAGGTGACAGGAATGAAAACGATGTTCAAACCCACACTTGCATTCTGGTGAGGTACGTACTTGAGTCTTGAGTGTCCTCTCAGTCAATAGCTGCTTCTCAAACTGAGCTTTAATAGCTGCTGCACTAATCTCTTCATCTTTCAACTTTGAGAGTTCTGAAAAGACAGACAGTAAAATTACACCAACAGCTACAGCTCCTGGGTATGTTCACAGTAAGCTCTCCTTCCTGCTAATACATACGCTCTTGAGTGTCTTTCAGCTTGTTGTTTAGTTCTTCTTTCTCGTTTGCAAGATTCGCAACATCACTGGTTAGTGTTCTGTTTGTTTCCTCGAGCTAAGAAAAAGAAAAATCCACGTATCACTTTACAAACTTTTAGTTGTCAAACTAATCCAAACAGAGACCCCCCTATAATACTTCTCACCTCTTTACTTCCCCTTGCATTAATTACCACACCAGACATACCTTGATAAAACTGTTGCTCCCTTAAAACTTACATATTCCAGAACACTAAAAATCTGCCTTTTTTTTTTTCACAAACTCTTAGTAGTTTTTTTCTTTTTAATGAGAAAACCACTTTAAAAAAATTAAAAAAAAAATTTGAAAAGGGGAAAACAAAGGCTTGTGTTCTGATCATGCAGAGTAAGTTTAAAAACTAGTGTTTCTTTCAGAATATTACTTTAAAATGAAAAATGAGTTTCTATTTAAGAAGCTGACATCCCTTTTCTATATTCCTTTCAGATTATATTCCTATCCTGCCTTTCATCATAATTTCTAGGTTCAATTTTCCAACCAAATACTGCAAATTTCCATTATAAACACATGAAATAATGTGATTTTTAAAATTATGACTCAGTACATTAAATTTGCCATGGTAGGGTACACCTTTAAACCTAGTAGTCAGTAGACAAATGCAGGAAGATATCTATGAATTCAAGGCCAGTCAGTCTGATAACAGAGTGAGGTCCAGGCAGCTAGGGGTAGTGAGAATTAAGATGTTAAGTGGGAATGGCAGATAATGCTCTAATCTCAGCACTTGGGAGGGTGAAACAGGAAGAAGACTGTGACTATGGGTCATCCTGAGATCAAAATAAAGAACAAAATGTGTTACCCTGGTGATATTTATAAAGACATAATTCATTTAGCTCCAACTTCTGTTTACTTCCACTTTCTAGTACAGTCTTGTTTGCTAAGACAGGGTTTCACATATTCTAGGCTGGCCTCCACCTTGCTGTGTAACCAATGGTGTTCTTCAACTTCTGGCCCTCTGGCTTTCACCTCCCAAATGTTGGGATTACAGCCATGCACTATACCACATCTGCTATTTTAAATTTTAATTTAATGTATATAAATAGGTATTTTGCCTGAGTGTCTGTCTCTGTAGCATGTATATGCAGTGCCCTCAGAAGCCAGAAAGGGCTGTTAGACACCCTGAAACTACAGTTGTTATAAGACAACTATGAGCTGCTGTGTGGATGATGGGAATCAAATTCTGGTCCTCTGGAAGAGTAGCCACTGAGTCCTGTTTACTGATAGAGATTTGCAGGCTTGCTGTTGTAAGCATTTATAACAGCTATAAGCACTGTGCTAGTTTCTTTAGCATAATTATCTTAGTGTGGACTGTCTTTGGGTGGTATCACACACTTAAAATTTAGCAGAAACTGTTATATACTGACTAAATTACAGATACTATACTGAATTTATTCTTCATTTATGGTAAAGGAAATGCTGTTTCCCAGACACTTAAAGTTTCAGCTTCTACTTGCAGCCATGTGAAAGGTATGCAATCGAATTCCAAAGCTATGGCATTCTTCTGGCCTTTTGCTGGAGAACAGTATCCACCTATGTATCTGAGCTGTCCCTTTGGACCAATTTTCTTCTAAATTGTTTCATTTACTTTACTGATTTATAGAAGCTATGTACGTATCCTAAATAGTAACCCTCTTTAATATATACAAGTATCTTTTCTATGATATTTAGGCTGTCTTCTGTCATATAGATGCTCTATAGCTTAAAATTTTTATTGTAATGTACCTAGTTAGTAAGGATCTAACTTTATTCCTTTCACATATAAATCCCATTATTCTAAAACGATTTATTCACTGAGTTCTTTTGCACTGGCTTTATTAATATCTGCACAAGCACCCAGGTCTTGTGTATGTACCTCCCTTTGGTGAACCATTTACTCCCCTTACTGTGACAGCACAAGACCAACTACTTTGTTTTAGTTTTTTCTGAAATGTTTCTTTAGTTAGCCTGTTAGAATGTGTTAACAAATACAATTTTTAAGTTATACCTCACACAGTGACCAGATGTTTCTGGGATTTTATAATACAACAATTTAATTATAAACCCAAAGTACCAAGAATTTTACTTACAGATGCAATTGTGGCATCCTTTTCAGTGAGTTCTTGTTTGTGTCTAGCCATCATCTCTTTTATCTCCAGTTCTTTCATGATCTTCTCTTTTTCCAAATCAGAGTATTGTTCCTCAGCAATGGAACGAGCCAGCTGCTCAGAATCTGCTTTGGTCAGGGTAATCTCCAGCTGGGCAGCCAAAGAGTCTCTGAGTTCAAGGATATATCATAACAATGTAGCATTCGGTGTGTGGGGGGTGGGTGGGGGGGGTATTGAAACCAGGGGCTTGTGTGGTCTAAGCACAGTCACCTAAGCTAAGTCCCAGATCCCTTGGAGCTAGTAGTCACTACTGATTCTTCACCAGACTATTTACTCGGTGGAAAGGAGGCTGAGAATGGGGCACACCGGCCATAAGGGACATGCCCTACCCTTACCGTTCATCTTGTAAGTCCTGCTTCTTCTGCTGCAGCTCTTTACAAAGCTTCGCCTTCTCTTCACTCTCTTCCTTGAGTTCTCTAACTTGGGTCTTATAGAGGGTCTAAGCACCAAAATAGAAACGTGTCCATTATCACCAAGAATATGACTTACATTCAAGACCTAGCAGGCAAAAGGCTCAATATATATATACACAAATCTTTTCTTAATGTTGAGTAATTTGGGGACCCTGAGAAATCAATAGTTTTGTGGGTTTTGCCATTTTCTAGTCACCAATTAATAAGCACATATTTGGCCAGCAGCCAGAGTACACTGTAGATTGCATATCCTTCATCTAGTTCCTAGCATACTCAACCCCTAAAAAAAAGACAAACCCCTGCTGTTTTGTTTTGTTTGTTTTAAGTTGACTGATCATTGGAACTATCCATGAAAACACTTCATATTGCTGGATGGTGGTAGCACACAGCTTTAATTCTGGCACTCAAAAGGCAGAAAGAGGCAGGTGCATCTCTGAGTTTGAGGCCACCCTGGTTACAGAATGAGTTCCAGAACAACCAGTGCTACAATGAGAAAACCTATCTTGAAAAACCAGCAAGCAGAGAGAGGGAGGGAGAATACATTGTATTTTTAAAGTGGTTTCAAAAAACCCACTAATATCAAAATAACCATTTATTATTTTCATTACAAAAGTACAATTTCCAAAAGGTGATGCTTTTAACAAGCTTCACGGTTGGTAATAGTTTATGCTTAGGATTAAGTTCTACCAACAACAGCTGATTTGTTGTTTTGAAACAGTGTTTCCCCTTCTGTTGTCCAGACTGGCCTCAATGTTGAGGGTTCAAGTGATCTTCCCACCTCATCCTGTCCTGTAGTTGCCAATTATAAGCACACACCACCCAAGCCAGTCTGGTAAGGAATTCCTGTTAAAAAAAATTATATTCTTTTGCCCAGCACTTTTTTTTTTTCTTCTTTTGTGGTGCTGGGTATTAAACTCAGGACCTCCTCCATTCATTATAGTCAAGTATTTTGAGCTACATCCCCAATCCCTGTCTGCTTTTTATGAGTCTTGTAAAAGTCCACCCAAATCTCTGTCTGGTGTGATCATAAACTATTACAAACCCAGCACTCAGGAGGTAGAAAGTTTGCAAACTGGAGGCCAGCCTAGGACACACAGCAAGATTGTTTAAAAGCCTAAAACTTAAGCAAGCAAGAGCAAACTAACGAAAGCAGCACATCTTGCCCTCTTCTCACTTCCTAGGGTACCAGGCATACACATGCACATAGACATGCCTACACCCAAACTACAAATACACATAAAGTGAAATAAATAACTATCTGTTTCAATTAGAAGGCAACCATTTCTGGTTCTGCAGGAAGAACCTTACAGAGAAATACTGCTCGGCTTCAAGCTGGTCTTGTAGCTCCTTCATCTGCCCGTCTGCATCCTGCCGCTCTCTGTGAACATAGAGGGTCCAAGTTTTTAGTAAAGTATACACATTTAAACCCAGCTACTCTGCAAAGAACCCTTGCAATCAAGTCATGTTCATACTAGCACTAACTTCACCACTGCCTTCCAAACTCTTGTCCATGTAGGCCTGTGACAAAGCAACTAACTGAAAGGCTGAGGCAGGAGGGATAGTGAGTTTGAAGTCAGCCTAGAGAATTTCATGAGACCATGTAATTAAGAAAACAAAACAAAAATCCAAACAACTTGAAGTCAGGTGTGGTGACTTGTATGTGTAATCTTAGCACCCTGGAGCCTGAGGAAAGGCTGGGAGGTTGTGACCAGTCAGGGATATATAGTGAGACTATAAAAAGTTACAACAAAACATTTTTAACAACAACAACAAACACACACACAAAGCAGAGAGAAAGAGAGAGAACTAATTTCTTCAGCACTGTACACAGGCTTTTCCTAAGGTTGTATGTCACATCATAATGTCATTAATCCAACATCTAATTCAGTGTGTGTCTGTATTTTCAGCTTTACTTTAATTTCATATTGCCCATATAAATGGGCTCTGGAATCCCAATCTATTATTTTACACTCCCAAGTGTCAAGATTATAGGAATTATCACCACACCTGACTTTCATTTTAAATAAATACTACTTTATATACAAAACACACAAAACTTCTCAGAAACTGTTAAACTGTCTGTACCAGTTAACTTACTTTCGAAGTTCAGCATTTTGCTTTTCCAAGTTCATTTTCATTTCCATGAGATGATTGTTTTCTTGCTTTATCTGCTTTTCTGACATTTTTAGGGTGTTAACTTGCTGGGTCTGCATCTTCAGGTCATTTTGCATAAGGCAACGTTTCTGAGTTTCCTGCTCTATTTTTAATGTCAAATTTCTAACCTAAAAAAGTAAATTGTATACTTGGTATTTATGTAAATTATTCTGATTTTTTCAAGAATGATGCTTTTCTTATTCATGTCACATTAAAATATAGATAACATTTCTAATACTGTTAAATAAAAAATAATCTTTAAGGTATAAGTAACTTTTAAATTATTCAATTATACTGATTTACTCTATCAACAAAATCCACTAACCCCAACAGATTCTATACAATATTTCAAGAAAAGGAAATTAAGTAATGCAGTCACCATTAAACATCCTCAATAAAAATTATTTCTTATTGGCTCATTCTTTTTACTTGGTATAAGGCACACTCACATCCTCATTTAGCACATCTTTCTGCTTCAGCAACTCGTTTAGTTTCTGCTGGGACTGTTTGAGGTCACAGTCCAATATGGAGCATCTTTTCTCTGCCTCCAGGAGCAGGTTCTCCACTCTCTGCTTTAAAGACCTTTCTTCCAACAGCTTCTTCTCCATCTCTGTTACAATGAGAGTAGACACAACTATGAGTCTCAAATGTAAGCATTTTAATTAAGACTATACTGTCCTGTATTGTTATTTGTTTCTAACTGAACATTTTTATACTTCACATATACCTGAAATATGAATTTTAGACTAGAAAATTGGGAGTTTCATTTGTGCAGTATAAAATGTATCATACTGTGTGTGATACTACATCTAGTCTAATGGAAAAAAGATGATCCTGTCTTTGTGGCTCTATAAGACATTGGCATCTTTCAATAAAAGTGTGACTATTTTTGCCTGGAAGCATTCCAGGTAGATTCCATGACTTCTCTTTTCATATTAATACATTATTACACAGGTGCTGGAAATTATGTTTGGGGAGATAGACTCAGGAGCCAAACTTTCTGAGCTTAACTGGGCTCTGCTGTTTACTAATTGTTTGAGTAGGTAAATAACTTCTTTGGACACAATTTCTCTCCATCTAGGAGGGTAATGGTATTTAACCTCTAGCATATGGCAACAAAGTTTTGAGGTTAATACATATATGGGACTTAAAATATTGCCAGGTATATGGCAGGCACTAGCAAGTGCTCATTAATACTTAGTTCTTTTTTGACGTTTTAAAGAATCAATATGTCGTAGGAGAAAGTGGAGTAAATCTATAAATAATCAGCTTAGTAGGATTGAAGTGACCTTTGTTTTAAGTTACACTTTCCTTCATTTTTCTAAATGATTTGCAATAAACATAATATATTGATTGGGAAAACAAACCTTTAAAACCATTTTTTTTTTTTTTTTTTGCAATTAAGGTGATCAACGAAGTATACCCCTAACCAAGGAAGCTCAATTTTAAAATTAAGTTTTAGTTAATCTTTTCTGTTCATATCCAAGTAGGATTCCTCTGTCCTCTCACACCTAATGTTTAACATCCAACTATCATTTACAAAGTTTCATTAGATGAGGATGAAATCCATTAATTTTTAGGTTTTTTTTTTTTAAGTGTTCACATGTGTATAGAAGCTTAGAGCTGATGTTGGGTATTTTCCTTATTTGCTCTCCACTCTATATACTATGACAGGGTTTCTGAGGGGAGAGGGTAAATGTGGAACCCACTAATTCTGGCTTGCCCCAGGGACTCCTGCTCTCTGTCCTGAGTGCTGGGATTACAGGTTGCTACCATGCCTGCCTAGATTTTACAAGGGCTCATTCATGCCCTTTACTTGCCAAGTACTTTATCCACCAAGCCAACTCCTTGGTTGAAAATTGAAAATATTTAATGAAGGGTCTTTAAAAGTGTGTACAGATAAATGAAACATTATTTAATGCTACCAAGTAGATGATATTTCTAATCATTTTATATGTATAGTAACACATGATTTTTACAACATAACAATACCATCATTATCCCTTTACGAAGAAATGGGCAAGGTCATACTAGAAATAATTACTTGTTCAATCCATGTTCTTAATCTGCGGAGGTAATAACATGTAGTAGAAAGAGCAAGAATTTTAGATCTAGGCTTGAATGACATCTATAATATTTTAGTGCTGTGTGCCTATATGTAAAATATAAGGAAGTCATTACTTATCTACATGTATTAGTGTTCCAAGTAACCACTAAAATAATTAAAAGTTATACTGAATTGTTTCATTTTTGTCAGTTTGGAAAATAATAAAAAATAAATGCATTCATGGCACATGGCTTTAATCCCAGCACTTAGGAGACAGGGGCAGATGAATCTCTATGAGTTTGAGGCCAGTCTGGTCTACAGAGTGAGTTCCAGGATAGCCAGAGCTACACAGAGAGCCACCACCACTCAGCTGTACAAAATGATATTGAGATGCAAAGCTGAAAGAATGAATGAAGGTCCCACAGACGGTAGGACTGGGAAAGCCTGTAGCTGGAGGGATGGATGAAAGTCTCACAGGTGGTAGAACTTGGGTAAGGCTGTATGAGTTTTTCAGCTGACAAAACAGATCTATATTCCAATTGTGGTAGTGGTTACAAAAATCTACACCCTATGTCAAAACTCATAGAACTGGGTAAACACAAAAGGTCAATGTCACCACATACTAATTTAAAAAATAAAGACAATTAAAAGTAAGCAAAAAAAATGCATTTGTTTACACTATATATATATATATACACATATATATATTCAATTAAAAAACACATATTATTGATGTAGAGAATAGAAAGAAGCACAAGAAGACTTACTAAGGTGGTAGACAGTCTACATCTTGCTTGGTAGTAGCTATGAGTATAAAACCAACATCAAAACTATTTATACTTTATTGCATATAAATTATACCTCAAAAACAACTTAATTATCTTCTAGGCCATAGACAAGGAAATATATACTACATTAAATTTTTTTAAGGATTTATTTATTATATATACAATGTTCTGCCTGCAAGTATGCTTGCACACCAGAAGAGGGCACCAGATCTTATTACAGATGGCTGTTAGCCACTATGTGGTTGCTCAAAGTTGAACTTGGGACCTCTGGAAGAGCAGCCAGTGCTCTTAACCTCTGAGCCATCTCTCCAGCCCATAGTCCATTAACTTAATCTCTTCAGATAAGAGCTTTCTAAACAAAGGCTCTGTTTTGTTGAGACAGGGTCTCAATGTGTGGCCCCAGCTGAGACCTGCTTGCTTCTGCCTCCTGAATGCTGGGATTAAAGAAATGCACTACTGTTCATGACTTCTCTCATTTCTTTCTTTTTTCTTTTTTTAATGACTTATTTATTTTTATTTTATGTGCAAATTGATATGATTTTGATTGCATGTATGTCTGTGTGAGGCTGTCAGATCTTGGAGTTATGGACATCTGTGAGCTGCCATGTGGGTGCTGGGAATTGAACTCAGGTCCTCTGGAAGAGTAGTCAGTGCCCTTAACCACTGAGCCATCTCTCCAGCCCTGACTTCTTTCATTTCTTATCACCCTGAATTAGTGCTTTAAGCTAAGTATAATAAGGAAATCTAAATGTTAATTATATTTAAAGAATGAAAGACTACTTCTAAGCTGTTTGTAATATTCCGCCTCAGTAAGAAGTGAAATATCTGATCCAGAGTTTTAAGACTTGGATAAAAATATTTTAAAGTACTGAATATTTCTGGAATTTGAAATCTACTTTAATGATAAATAGTTAAAAAAAAACAAATTTAAGCCAAGATAACTCTAATGCAAAGGTTGGTCTGTGATACGGTTTTAATAAAATCTGACTGGCATCTTTAACATGTCAAGAGTCCAAAATACTCAGTGAGCTAACTAGCTCAGTGGTTCTCAATCTGTGGACCATAACCCTTTAGGATAAAATAACCCTTTCGCAGAGGTCACCTAAGACATTGGAAAACACAGATATTTGCACTATGATTCATCCATCATAGTAGCAAAATTAGTTATGAAGTAGCAACAAAAATAATTTTATAGTTGGAGGTTACCATAACATGAGGAACTAAAGGGTTGAAGGTTGAGAACCACTGCTCTAGCTAGACCAGCAATTTATTATGTAAGTTTTGGTCTTACATAACTACTTTTGTAACACAGCCAAGGAACTGTCAAACTACAGTAAATACTATGTCAAAGGACCTCTCTCCCAAATATCAGTACAGAATACCACATTATACACCTTATGCACATCGATAGCACTGAAACATCACTTTCTTCCAGACCTAAAAATATGGTAGAATGATTTTGTATGTGGGCTTTAAAGTTTTTTTTAAAAAAAGTATATGAAGTTTCCTTGATAATTTTCTTCCTTTCGGTTCCCAATACTCAGCAATATAAATAAATATTATCTTTTGTAAAAGCAAAGATTGACTCTAGAATCAACTCTCGGAAAATGTCCTGGGAACACACCTCACAATGCATACCTTTCATGGCTTCTGACTTAGCTTCTTCGATGGATTCATAGATCTTGTTTTTGTCTGCCAGACGTGCTTTTGTGGTCTTGTGCTCCGCTTCTTCTTGCTCTAAACTCTGCTGTATCACCTTCAGTTGGTATGTCATATCTATTTCCATGTTGCTCTTCTCCTACATAACATTGTCGATGGTGGTTATTAACAAAATTCCAAGAACTCTTAAAATTGCTTTTAAGTAGTCTCAGTAAGAATGTTCGGTATCTTCCCTCTTTTCTACACCAGAGTTTCTTGTAATATACATACCCACCAGCCTCTGCCACCTATCCACTCTGGTCAAAGGCCTGAACTGAGCCTATTTCATTTCAGTGAAGTGAGCAGAGTGCTACTCTCACTGGACAATACTTCTCAGGCTCTCTCATTCTGAATCTCTATCTGCAGTCCTGACATCCCCCGCACTGACAATGTTGACAATGTATCTATCCCCTGGCTCTCCCTAACTAGTTCTCACCTCCCTGCCACTCTGAAGATTCCCCAGCTGCCTCTCAGAGGCTAGTTTTACTCTTTTTTCAATTATCATTTTATTTTAAATGTGTTTGTGTGTTGCTTCTGTATATGTATGTATACCATGAGTATGCCTGATACCCATGTGTCAGAATAGGATGACAGATCCCCGGGAACTGGAGTTACAGATGGTTATGAGCCACCTTATGAGGGCTAGACCAAATCTGGGTCCTCTGCAAGAAGAACAGGTACTCTCAAATGCTGAAGCATCTCTCCAGCTGCAGGCCTTTAGTATTCTTTAGACACAAGGTCCCTCTTCCTCAAGCATGATTTTTCAAACTTTAAATATTATCTAGTAACCATGTGTGATGGTTATACCTTTAATCACAGCACTTGGGAGACAAGAGCATGCAGACCTCTGGAAGTTTGAAGCCAGCCTAGTCTACAAACAAACAAAAAGCAAGCAAGCAATGTTTGCTTGATGGCGGTGATGGCCCACACCTTTAATCCCTGCATTCAGTAGAGAGAAGCAGGGGGATCTCTGTGAGTTCGAGGTCAGTCTGGTCTACAGAGTGAATTCCAGGGCAGCCAGGGCTTCACAGAAAAACTCTGTCTCAGAAAAACAAAGACAACCAACCAAACAAAAAGTATGGTTTGCAATCTAATTATATGAAACAACAACAAACCTCAAGATGTTCTACCAACCAAATAGTTGGTGTTTTTCTATGATGCTGGGGATTGAACTTGGGGTCTCAGACATGCCAACCAAGTACTTGACCAATGCCCAACCAGACATGTTCTAAGTTTGAAAGTCTTGGATAACAAGTCAACCTATTTTCTATACACCGTATATGACCAACAAAACCTGAAATGTTCTTTACCTTACCCCTAAAGGATTAGTTTGATGACTCAGACACCATACTCTAGAAATACTAACTGAACAAACAAATCATGCTGTTACTGTTCCTGAGCCTCCAACTGGAGTCTACCTTTTCTCCTGCCCAGCTCTCTCACGTATCATGTCAGGCTCACTTTCTACACCTGAAAGGCATACTGTGTCCAAACAGCTAGCATTTTGTTTGTACACAACACATGACAATTACCTAGGGCAATGGTTCTCAACCCTTCTAATGCTGTGACCCTTTAATACAGTTCCTCATGTTGTGGAACTGTATCATAAATTATTCCTGTTGCTACTACATAACTGTAATTTTGCTACCGCTATAAATTATAATGTAAATATTTGTGTTTTTGATGGTATTAGGCCTGTGAAAGTGTTGTTCGACCTCCCAAAAGGGTATTGAACCACAGGTTGAAAACCACTGACCTAGGGGTTAATATTACACCTTTTTTTTTTTTTTTTTTTTTTTTTTTAAGCCTAGGTCTCACCAGGTAGCCCCAGCTAGTCTTGAACTCACAGAGATCCACCTGTCTGTCTCCCTAGTGCTGGGATCAAAGGTGTTTGTCACCATGACCAGCTTATTATCCCTTTTAAAATTATCTACCAGACTATAGTATTGAAAGCATCACTGCACTGCATCCTAATATTTCTACTATAGAAAACATTAAATATTCAGATCAACAAATAAACAAATGGAAATAAAATATTAACTAGAAATAATCTGTGGCCTCATAGTATTAAAAATAAACAAATAAACCTCTGAATGTCATAAGTCATATATTTCCCTTTGGGTTTTCCAAGTAGGGTTTCTCTGCTTAACAGTCATGGCTAACCTGATACTTGCTTTGTAGACCTGTGGCCTCAAGCTCACAGAAATCTGTCTGCCTCTGCTTCCCAAGTGCTAGGATTAAAGGCATGTGCCACCACAGCCCAGCACAAGTCATATTTTAATTTTATATTAATTTTTAAGCTATCCCAGTCAAAATTTGAATTTTCCTACATGGTATGAAATTCTCAAAGAATAAAATTTATCTTAAAAAGTCTGAATTTCTAGGACTGGAGAGATGGCTCAGGGGTTAAGAGCACTGGCTGCTCTTTCAGAGGTCATGCGTTCAATTCCCAGCAACAACATGGTGGTTTACAACAATCTATAATAGAATATTCCGGCAGGTAGGATTACATGCACAGAATTCATACATAAAATATAAAAAGGTACAATTAAAAAAAAAAGTCTGAATTTCCCCTGGGTCTCTAAAACAGCATCATTATATAAACTGAGTCTCTCCCTTCATGTAATGTAGCACACCAAAGGCTGTCTATAAGGTATTAGTATCGTCCTTAACCCTTTTCTCATCTAAAATCGCACTGTCCTCTTCTTACACACCAAGTGCAGTGTGCCATCCTTACTTTCTCACTGCCCTCTTGTCATACACAACGTGCACTGTGTCATGCTCACCTTCTCTAGGTCAGTGAGTTTCTCCTGCAGCTGTCTCTTCTCTAGCTCTACTTTGGTCAGCAAGGCTTTGCCAGTCTTCACATCTTCTTCCAGCCCAGATATTCTACCTAAAAATTCAAACATTGCTTAAAACAACATACTCAACCGAATCCCTTTTGGAACTGCAGGCAGTTAAAAGCCTGCAGAACTGAACTTCTTAGCAATATGTGCTCTTAAACAATGAAGCTGCCTCTAGCCCACGGCTCTAACTTTACTAACAAGATACTATATAAACAAACAAACAAACAAAAAACACACAAAAATAAAAATAAGCCAGGAGTGGTGGCATACGCCTTTAATCCCAGGTAGAGGCAGGCAGATCTTTGAGTTTGAGACCAGCTTGGTCTACAGAGCGAGTTCCAGAGCATCTAGGTCTACACACAGAAACCGTATCTTGAAAAACAAAACAAAATAAAAAACCCCACAACCAACAAAAAGCCCCAGGTTAATGTAGTGCATTATTCATCTAAAGTTACTTTAAAATCATGAATTATCCAAAAATCAAATCAAATACAACCACTGCTTTTATACCTTGTAAATCATGAATTATCTCTGATCCATGGGTCCGGTCCCTTCTTTCAGATTCTAGAGCTGATTGAAGATTGATAAATTCTTTTTCAAGCTTTAATTTGGCAGTCTCAAGCAGGCAGTTTTTATCTTGTAGATCTCTATTATTAGACTCCAGCTGCTGAATCTGTTTGGAACTTTCTGCCTGGGTTTTTCTTAACCTTGCTGCAGTGTCAGACTCTGTTCGCAGCAAAGCATTAGCTTCATCCAGCTAATATCCAATTCAAAAGCAAGCAGATAACCACAGATGTAACGTAATGAATAACATAGTACATCAATTTATTATCTTGTTACAGAGTACCTAAATAAAGACTCCAAGTATCATCCCTTTAAGTATTAGAGCTAAGGGTTTGACAACAGTGCAGTCAGCATTAACAGGTGTGGATAGACTCAGCACTCCACACACAGACCACCTACCTGTTTCTGGAGCTGATTGACCTTCTCAGTGGATATCTGAGAGCTCTGGTTTCTTTTCTTCAAATCTTCAAGTTGATCTTTTAAGCTGTTAACTATGAAGCAAGGCATTTTAGTAGCAAGCTTCAATACAGCATAGACACTCAATATTTTTCTTAAACATTTATTAGTTCATATCACAAACCATCATTTTCCAAATTCCGTTTCTTGTCAGCTTCATGATCAGCTTTCCGCTGATATTCTGCGTTTTTGTGCTGAAGAAGGGCCTTTTCTCTTTCCAATTGTCTCAGTGCTGACTCCACATTTTTCCTAAAGGTAATCTGAAATAATAATAACATCAAAAGGAAATGGTCAGAGAAGCCAGATCAAAACCCATCAGTAATATCAAACATATAAAAAGAGGCCTAAAAGTGTTTTGTTAAAATTTAAAAAAATTACATTACCCATGTTTGCAAAGTAGCATACAATGAAATAACCAAAATTAAAACAAACATTTAATTTATTATATTATTAATAAACAAGCTCTCTGAAACCTCCTATCACTAATGAACCATCACTATATGATCCCATGGAACTAAAATGTTATTAATATCAATACTTTTAAAAAAAAATGAATTACTTCCTATATTTAAAACATACCAGTCATTTAAATAATCATATAAAAGCAAAAATTTAAAATAAATTTTTAAGTTAGTATACAAAATAATAGTTTCATTATATTAACATACACATAAACCATCACATTTTTTAAAAAAAAAAAAACTTGAAATACCTACACTAAATTAACTCAAATTGTCAAAGCAAGCCTAGGCAACAGAAATCACCCTGCAGTGATTTCCATCTTGTTCATTTAAGACATGGGTAGATTTTACTCATATGCATTGCATGCCACTCTGAGAACTCTGTAGCTAAGTGCCTATCAAACACTTTTACTAACAAAAATGCTAATAAAGTATAGGAAAATTTTACCTCTTCTTCTAGCTCCTTTGCTGTTTTCTCTAGGCGAGTGTTAATAGATCTAAAGAATTTTAGAAAGAAGCAGTAAATAGAATAATTCTAGTTTAAGTAAAAACAGTCTATTCATTGAAAAAGCACTTATATAATAATGTGCCCTTTTTCACTTTCAGTCCTGTGTTTACGCTTCAATTTTAAATGCACTGTTCGCAGCATACTTGCACTTCTGCTCCAGCTCCTCCTTGGCTTGCAGCTCACTGCTAAGGTGTTCTTCTAGTGCATACAATTTTTTCTGAATCTGTCAAGAAATTATAAGAAATTGTAAGTTTTGGTAACAAAGATGAGAGGCTTCAAGAAAATAATGTTCCCTATTTGCATTTCTACTTACACAGCTCTCTGTAAGAGCACAGGATTGGTGCCTGCTAGTGCACCCTCTGAATCAGAGGGAAAGGGCCCTCACCTCCTTCTCTCTTCTCCACAGTACACATACACATTTACAGTAATAAACTGTGATTTCCTACACAGTGATAGGAACATTACTATGAAGGATTTAATGAATTGAGTAAATGCTAGCTAACTCTTATTTCAAATCCTTATTTTTTATTAGCTGTTTTAAGCAAGTTAAAAATATTAAAAACTACTAAGTAACACATTTGAAATATTCCTTTTTAAAAAAAAAATTACCATCTTTTTACATGCATGTGTGTACCTGCTAGTGCACCACATCTGTGCAGGAGCTCTTGGAGGCCAAAGGAGGGCATCAGACCCCTTCCAACTTAAGCTACCATGTGGGTGCTGGGAATTGAATATAGGTTCTCTAAAAGAGCAATAAGCACTCTTAACTACTGAGATATCTTCCAGTGCCAAACAGTTTTTTCACTGTTTGGAGACAGATCTCACTATGTAGTCCAGAACTGCTATGTAGCCAAGCTAGCCTTCAACTGATGGATCCACCTGCTTCTGCTTCTGAGTGATAGGACTAAAGGTGTGTTCACCCACACCTTCCTTCTTTTATCATTTTAAGGATTTAACTTTTTGAGATCCTATGTTGCCCTGAGTGCAGTATCAGGCACTTAACAAGTATCCCATTAACAGGAACAAAATGCATAAGACAATGTCTCCTAGGTGTGGTGGCACATGCCTTTACACCACCCAGGAGGCAGAGCAAGGAGAATTCCTGGGAGTTCAAGGCCAGCCTGATCTACATACTGAGTTCCAGGCCTCAAAATAAGAACAACAATGGCAGTGTGTTATACCACAAGTATCAACAAGGTGGAATACTCAGGTCAAGGCAAGTACACAAAGGCAAGGTTCTAATGAGTATGTTCCCTGGGGTTTCTTAAATATTTCATTTATCTTAAAAACAACAGGCAATTGAACAACTCCTGTAGTGTCCTAACACAAGTAGAGGCTAAGAGCTGAGGAAATGGCTCTGCCAGTGAGCTGCTTACTGCATAAGCATGAGAATCTGAGTCTGGATCCTTACCATATACAGAAAAGTTGGGCATGCTAGTCTCCAGCACTGGAGAGGCCGAGGCAGGGAGACGCCAACCTAGTCTAGAGGGTGAGCTCCAGGTCAGCTAAGGTTACAAAGTGAGACTCAACTCCAAAGCAAAACACCAACCAACCAAATGAAACAACAACAAAATCAAAGTAATAGAGGCTTGAATCTCTAACTCCGGTACCGAGGAAGGAGAGACTGGGGAAAGTGTAGCAGAGACAAGCAGATCTCTGGGGCTTGCTGGCCAGACAGTCTGGCATTAATTAATCTCTGAGCTGCAGGTATATTGAAACTCTTTACCCCCTGCAAAAAAAACAAGTGTGGACCGTATGGAAGACACTGACTACTGGCTTCCACACAATTGTATACATATAAACACATCCAAACATGGTTACACACTAAACATGTAAGTAAAGTCAGCCATCCTTATTCTCTTCAGTACATACATACAGAACCACTTTCCAAACAATAGTATTCTTCATTATTTTTTCTTTTAAAGAAAATACAGGCTAATGAGTGAGTCAAGATAAGTATTTTTGGATGCTGTAGTACTTAAAACATACTATTATATGTCCTTCATAAATAAAAACAAAAAAAATCACATAACTCATTTTAAACAATAAATTCAAAAGAAAAATAATAAAAGGGTACTTGGCAGAAAAAAGGATGGGAAGTCTCTTGGGCAGATGCAGTACTCCAAATGGGAAGCAGACTATGACTAGATTAAAACATGTGTTTTTCTCCTTTTCAGTGTATTTGACAACGTACCTCTTGACTTTCCTATTCGGAAAAAAAAAAGAGAGAGAGAACATTTCAATGCTTTTATATTTTTATAAAAGCCCTATACTGTTTGTCATTCCAAAATTATCCAACAGACTTTACTTTCACTAAGTTTGAAGAAAAATTAGCATTGTAACTTACACTTTTATGTGTAGATTTAGCTTTGTACGAAGTAACAAGATAGTTTAACACTTTGATTAACAGTTCTTCATATAAATACATTAGTAAACAGGAACTCAGAAGCTGAATCACTCCCCGACTTCTATACCTCATTGTTTAATATGTGTACCCTTTTATAGCACTAAGATCATAACATCTAACTGGTATCAGAGCTATTTATAAATCTACCACTCTTGCTACTAAATGAAGCTGAAAACACATACTGACATAAACAAATTACTTCAAAGTTGTGCTGCACTCAGCACTTTACACTTAAAGAATGGTATCTCATGGCTCACAAAGAAATATCACGTAAACTTTAAAAAGCCAGTGGTATAGTGGGGCTGGAGAGATGGTCCACCAGTTAAGGGAACTAGCTTCTCCTCAAAGGATCTAGTTTCGGTGTCAGAGACTCCAACCCCTTTTCTGGTCCCCACTCACATTGTATGCACATAGTAAACAGACATAAATACAGGGAAAACACTCATATACAAAAAAATAAAAGTAAGTAGTTTTTAAAATATGAGTATTTGAACATGTAACTGAAGTAAATAACAGCAAAAATGTATACATACTTCACTTTTCCTTGTTTGTATTGCATCATTTTCTCTACAAGATGGAGAGTCACTTAATAACCTGGAAAGACAGGAGGAAAAATTTTTCGCATTTCACCTTATTTCAGCTCTTACTTGAACATTCTAGGTTCAACACTTAATTCTGCTGCTGGGCAGTCACACCTCTCTGCCTCTGCACAGGAGGCACCCAGTCTTAACTCTGTTAGCACTAGCACCACTGCATGGACCTCTTCTTCCCACTTGCATTTCTACAATCATTATATTCCACTGGGTCTTTTAGAAAGGAACATCTCTTGTTTTTGGCAAAGATAACACAACAGCTCGATGTTGTAATTTAAACATCATCTTTTAAAAACCCTAACCATTTATTACACTAATTTACTGTTTTGTGTTCATGTACACAAATCACAGATGTGTGCAGAGGTCAGAGGTCTATTTGTGAGAGTTAGTTCTCTTTCCACCACATGGGTCTTCAGGCTTGGCAGCAAGTGCCTTATCTACTGAGCCATCTTGTCAGCCCCGAAGTCATCATCTTGATATTTCTAACCATTTCTCTCTCGGTTGTGTCCTTTCCGCTATCTATAAACATGCATAAGTTTCTTTTATCCCTGACATATATTCTTTAATTTTGTATATATAGGCGTTTTGTCTGGACAAATTGGAATTACAGATGGTGCTGAGCTGCCATATGAGTTCTTAGAATCAAACCTGAACCCTCTGGAAGAACAGTCAAGCCTCTTGACTACTAAGTCATCTGCCCAAGTCCAATACCCTTCTTTTGTTCAGAACTTTAAAAAGTCTTAAAACGGCATTATTAGGAAGGTGACCAACCCATCTTCCTTAGCCTAAGCTTTTCCTGATTTTGCTATCTCATCCCAGAAAGCCGCTCAAACCTGAACAACTATGACAGCTATCATTCTCAGTATTACATGTGAGTGTACCAAGAAATTTCTCAAACACTTTTAATATTTGATTCCAGTATTTAACAGTTTCAGTGGCTCCTCTATGCTTACTAGTCAAAATTTCCTCAGCAGAACATCCACTGGGATAATCTTTTAAAAGGTAGATATCATATTTTACCTTTCTTTATAATTCTGTGATTCTCTTATATCCTTCATAAGATAATAATTCCATCAAAACAAGCATTTGTTCTTACTGCCTATCTTCCAAAGAATATAGGACAGTTTCTTTCAATCATTTATAAATAAATAAAATGTAACATTCAAACATCAAATAATGAAATAAAGTTAAAAGTAGTTTAGACAGTCCATTAGGCAATAACCTTACAGCTAGGCTCTGATAAATTTTAATAAATAAATCACATACAAATTCTCTCTGAAGTAGGTAAATCCTATAAAAGGCAGCTGATTTCCCACAAAAGCTTTTGGGATTGGGAAGGTCTCTACATCTCCTTTGTCGTCCTCAATGTCATCAAAGTTGCTGCTGTCTATGTCACTGCTGAGCTCAGGCACCACTGGAGCTGCCGCTGAGAGGAGACAAAGTATCATTTCATTCACAGCAAAGCAAGACCAACTAATCTTTGTGATATATCAAATTTTATACAAACATCTAACAACATAACTTCCATCTGCCATCTCATAGAATTAACACAGTGTAAGTAATTTATTACTCTATTAGAGCTGCTTTAAACACAGGCAAATACATCAAACGAGGGTTTATTGTATTACCCTAGAACTAAAAATGACAAGTAGCAATAACATACATGTATTATAGAGGATCTTCAGTTTTCAACATTTTTGGGTCTGTTTGGTTTTCAACAGGGCTTCTCTGTGTAGTTCTGGCTGTCTTGGAACTTGATCTAGAGACTAGGCTGGCCACGAATCAACAGTATACACATAAAAGTAAATTACTATGTTTTATCAGAATATGGTCTTAACAAGTAGCCAATTTTTCAGCTTAAGTACTCAAGTTAAAGGACAACAATTCAGCTGAGCGCTCACTGGTGGCGTACACCTTTAACCCCAGCACTCGGGAGGCAGATGCAGGAGGATCAATGTAAGTTCAAGGCCAGCCTGGTCTACAAAGGGAGTTAGTTTCAGGACAGGCTCCAAAGCTACACAGAGAAACCATGTCTTGAAAAGAAAAAAAAAAAAAAAAAAATTTAAAAAGGGAATCTCTGGTGGCTGGAGAGATGGCTCAGAGCACTGACTGCTCTTCCAGAGAGCCTGGGTTCAATTCCTAGCACCCACATGGCAGCTCATACCTGTCTGTAATTCCTGCTTCAGGGGATCCAATGCCCTCAGACAGATATGAAGGCAAAACACCAATGTACATAAAATTAATTATCCTTTAAAAAAAAAAAAAGGACTATACCTCATGATTGAGATTATAAAACTGCCTAATTATGAAATGTATAATCTTCATTACAAAAAAATTGGGAAATGTTGCTTTAAAAATGCACACTAGTTAAAAAAAAATGCACACTAGTGTACTGAGAGATGAACTACTTAGTTACAAATTTGCCACAGAAAAGCTGATCTCTCAGTTTAACTGAGTTATCATACACTAGCACACACATACTACTTCACAAGAGGAAATCAATTTATAAGATTCAAACTGTAATAAAGTGGAACGCTTGGATCGACTGACTTACTCTCTCTTATGTTTTCCCAATTCCACTGGTCATTCTTAAAGAAAGGATGTTGTTTGATTTCTTCTACCCCATTTCTTCCAAGTCGTACCTCCCTAAACAATGCAGTTAAAGATTATATTATGAAAAATAAGAATAATAATTTTTTAGATTTTCACCAAAGGATCATACATTGAAATACTTTTATTAAAAATTTCAGCTTAAATATTTCTCAAAAATAAGCTATGTGTCTGACCTATAAACAGATTAAAAAGGTATAATGATGTATAGTGCAGAGTGAACTATATAGGAAATAAACTCTACTTCCACTGGCTCTGCTGTCAACCAAAAGTACATACAATAGGCAAAAATTTCCCTCTGCACATGCCAAGTTGCATGGCCCACTGACCTCAGCTCAAGCTGCTCTCATAGAAACACCAGTTAAAAATCTTTTCTTCCTCTTAAAAAGAACTATTCATATTTACTACGAGAAGCACCCTCTCCATTTAAATTAAAATCACCATTCTGAATAAAATGAAAAAGGTTATTAAGAATTCCTTTAACTTCCCTAGAGCATTCATGAAAACTGGTGAATTCCCAGTTTGTACCCCATATTACAATGAAATTCTTACCAACTCTAGCAAACATTCCTCAGGTTATATTTTATTTTATCAATACTGGCCCGTCATCAAACGTATAACTAACAAAAGTAAACAGTTCTGTTCAACAAATGATTAGAGAAACCAAGGAAAAATCAAATAGTTTCCTTACTCTTTCTAAAGCAACTTTCATACCTTTGTTCGTCTATTCTGTTTTTCAGTTGTTTTTTTTTTTAAATCATAGAATTTCCAGCACAGATTAAACAGTCAGAAGGAAGCACCTCTATACTAAACAAACAGTTCGTTTTTAGGGGTGGGGGTGAGGCAACATCTCACTCTGTAGATCAGGCTAACCTTGAACACACCTAGTGCTGGAATTAAAGGCAGACACCATCTCAGCTACTTTTAAACAAATAGTTCTTAAAATTATAAACTACCAAGCTGTCCTCTCAAAGTTACGCAAACAAGAGTAATATGGATTACAACATTAGAGGGTAAAATGTGAAACATAAATTTTATCTTTCAAATATATTCATTTATTAAATCATTTATGCATCTTTATAGACATGAAGATTAAGAGATAAATTAGATGATAATTAGGTTAGTATTCACAAAATGATGAAGGTAACCCCACCAGGCTTAAGCTGTGGGGGGAGGGGGGTGCTTGGGGAAGGGCTAAACCAGAATTAAATGCAACTAGGGTAACAATGGAGGTTGATTTCCTATGTATATAAAGCAAACATACTTTTACTGTCTCAAATTACAAAAGTAAAAGGGTTTCTCCACAAAGAAACTCTATATTTACCTGTCTGTTAAGAAGGCACAAATGAGATTCTTAGCATGTTTAGAAATTTCTGTATCTTCAGGGAAACACAGTGAATTTTTATGATCCATAATTTTGCTGTAGGTTCCTACAAGTGAATCTGCATAAAATGGAGTGTCCCCTAAAGTTTAAAGAAAGACAACAATGAGTCAAATAAAGAATTCACGTTAATTACTTTTCATATAACATTTAAGTATCTTAAGTTTAAACCCATCTTCTTGCATGAAAGAACAAATGGTCTATATGCCAAGAATCACAGTGGAAATGAACAGAACAAATACATTTAAAATGTAACCACACCAATGACCCTTGAAAAAATAAATTTGCCCCTGAGCTTCCTCTAATTGAAATATTATATCTTGGGATCAGGTGTAGTAGCGCACATCTTTATTCCTGGCACTAGGGGGACAGAAGCAGGAAGATATATGTGAGTTCAGGCCAGCCTGATCTATATAATGAGTTCTAGGATAGCCAGAGCTACATAATAACACTCTATCTCAAAAAAACAAACAAAAAAGAAAAATTATATATTAACAACCTAACTGAAAATAATTTTGTAATTCTTCTCACTGTGATGAATTACACAGTGATTGTGCACACCTTAATCCCAGCACTCCAGAGGGTTAGGCAGATGGATCTTTTATGAATTCCAGGCCAGTCTGATCTAAGAGTGTGTCTGAAAAAAAGAAGGAAGAGGAAGAGAAGAAAGAGGAAGAAAAAGAAGGGAAGAGGAGGAGGAAGAGGAAGATGAAGAATATGTATTTGTTTATGTGCTGAGTTCCAGGGCAGCCTATGCTACTTAAGAGAAATCGTGTCTCTAACAAATAAAAACCTGAAAACATACACAAATAGTAAATAAAATACAGTTTACAATTCAATGGCATAACAAGATTACTAAAGAATGCTTTTAGTTACCTGTAACTATTGGAACAAATACTAAAATTTACTTAAATATTTACTCAACCATTTAAAATATTTATAATAAAAAGATTATTAAGACACCATGGGGCTAGTGAGATAGCCTAAGTGTCTAATATCATGCAGTGTTCCTGCAAAAACTCAGTTCCTAGCACCCATGCCAGGTGTTCAAAACCAACTGGTCTCCAGCTACATCGGATTCGATGCCTTTTTGTGTCCTCTGTAACCATTTGTCTCTCTCTCTCTCTCTCTCTCTCTCTCTCTCTCTCACACACACACACACACACACACACCCAGAGAGAGAGAGAGCGAGAGCTCTCTCTCACACACACACACACACACACCCAGAGAGAGAGAGCGAGAGAGCGAGAGAGCGAGAGAGCGAGAGAGCGAGAGAGCGAGAGAGCGAGAGAGAGAGAGAGAGAGAGAGAGAGAGAGAGCACAAATCTTTGAAAAGAATAACCTTGTAAACTACTGTGCTGACCTTGTAAACTAGTGGGGCTGGATCCATGGCTTGGCAGTTAAGAACATTGGCTGCATTTCCAGAGTTTGGTTCCCAACACCCATGCCACAGTTGCCTGGAACCCCAGCAATAGGGGATGTGATTAAATGATTAATGGAGGCCTACAAAAGCTGTAAATTTGTTCTTGCTCTAAAACTGCCTTAATTTAAAAAAGACCTAGTGATGAGTAGTGGCACATCTGCAATCTCAGCATAAAAGAGGCTGAGTAAAGGTAATGGGTTGAGTTTGAGGTCAGCATCAGCTATATAAAAATACTTAAAAAGTAAAAAAAAAAAAAAAAGTCTACTAGAGAAAACTTCCTACCAACATTCCTACCAACACAACAGCACATGTCTAATTTCTTTCCACAGTGAACTTCTTTTCAGTCACTGCACATCTTCTATCAAGTTCTATTTCCTTTACTTATTTACTGGCATGTGCATGTGTGAGCATGTGCACACATGCATAGGTCACATTCACAGGTGGAACTCAGAGAACAATTAGCAGATATTGGTTCTCTTATATCCTCACCTGCATCCTAGAGCTCAAACTCAGGTCATCAGGCTCAGCAGCCAGTACTTCCTACCCCTTAAGCCATCTTGACAACTCTACATCAGGTTGTAATTCAGTTTTTAGAAATTCTAACCCCTCCCTTCAACATCACAATTCCTTTACATTCTTCAGTTCTTGAATAAACTATAAGGTGTTGTGACTTACCCACTAGCATCTCAAAAAGGAAAACACCTACAGACCACCAATCACATTCTCGCCCATAGTAACCATCACCACCTTGGGATTTCAGAACTTCAGGTGATATGTAATCAGGAGTTCCAACTGCTGTATCGCAATGCACCATACCTGTCTGGGTAAACAGCAGAATTAAAAAACAAAGCCGAACAACCAGACAAAGTTGAAACACACACACACACACACACACACACACACACACACACACACACACACACACACACACACCCCTGATTTGTTATCAGACAGACAGTAACACATCACTGCCAATACAGTGTCACTGTTGACCTGGATTCTGGACTCAGGAGATACACACACCACCAAATGCACAGAAATGTCTGGATTAGGGAGACCAGAAGTAAGTTTTCATCCAAGGAAAAGGAAAGGGGCTGCCAAGACTATGACAATAGACAACCTTTGTTATTTATTTATTACATTATAAAGTAAGGGGGTACAAAATGTGATCATAATGACACAACATGGGGAAAACAAAAGACTCATTAGGAAAAAAGCAGAAGCCCTTACGATGGGGTTAAGAAGTGGTTCAGAGTTTATCAAGACAGACTGAAGAAACTTAAGAAATACTTAAACTAAAGAACCATCAAGGTTTGGTGCTTCTTAGTTTTATGTATTTCTAATCACACAGCTGTACCATCAATATATTTGGCAAAGTGATTCAACACCTTTACCTCTGTTTGGTTTTGTCAGGTAATAAGATACTTTCTGTGAGTGCCTTCTTTTAAGATTTTGTATTTGTATAACATGTACATGCTCATGTTTGTGTGCTTGTCAGAGGCCAATGCTGGTCACTGGCTAGACTAGCATCCAGCACAGCCCAGGGCTCCTTCTGACTCTGGGTCTCTTGCACTGGTATTATAGGTATTATAGGTATGTGCCTCCATGCTTGGCCTTTTGTGGGAGCTGGGGGTCTGTACTTGGATCCTCATGCTTGACAGGTGAGTGTCTTATCCACTGAGCCATTTCCCTAGTTCCTCAGTCATATTTTGACAAAGGTAAGAATCTTAAGAGAGCTGAGCTTGAGTCTCAGTGACTCCTTATAAAATAAATACTTTTGAGGCACTATGATGAATGGCATTCTCCCTTTGAAAATCATTGCTCTTATCCACAATTTTTGGCTGACATACTGTTTTCTTTAAAAATAAACATTCGAAAGAAGTACTTAATATTTTTATACTGTCTGACAGAGAAGTATTCAATTAAGTAGATACAGAACCAACATTTATGACAAGTCCCTGGCCTTGTTTAAAGAACTACTAAAAGGTAAACCAGAAATCAAAACAACTGACTCACTTCCCTTTAGGGAATAATGGGGTAGTGGGGACAGGAGCAAGCTACCCTGCCTTGACCATGTATTTCACATACATAGAGGAAATTTCACATACAAAAAATTGAAAAGTTACCCGCCCCTATAACTACAATGAATGTAGGGGGTAAGAATGAATTAATCCAAGGAGGTTTAGAAAGCTAGTTATTATAGCAGGACATCTTCAAGCCAAAGAGCATTGTTCGAAAATCTATTCATCTTAGTAGTGGAGTCTAGCAATTATGAAGCAATTTTAAATGTATGCTAGAGTTACATAAACAAACAAAAAACCTATAACCAGCTAACAAGAGCCAGAGTTTTACAGGAAGGAAAGAGGAAGACTAGCCTAGGCTCTGTGATGTTAGGCTTCAAACAGAGATATCAATTTGACACTTGACATACTACCTATAGTGACAAAGACTCAACTGTACACATGTGACTTAACACTGGGTGCACATGGCCCATGCCCCCAGCTCTACCCTAACCGAACCTGACACTTAACAGTGGCTGCAGATGACCCATGGCCCCAGCTCTACCCACCGACTGAGCCTGACACTTAACAGTGGGTGTGCATGATCCATGCCTCCAGCTCTACCCTGAGCTGAAAGCCATGAGCAATGAGCTCATTTAGCACCTGTAGCTAAGTACTGTCTCTAATAAAAGGAATTAGAGTTTCTTGCAATGACTCTAGGGCCAAGGAAAACACAGACACATACAGATACATAGACAGACAGACAGACAGACAGACAGACAGACAGACAGACACACACACACACACACACAAAGTCAGGCAAGTTTTAGTATTCTGTAGTGTCAAAACCAAAGCAAATAAACTAAAGGGGACTGCTGAAAGGATACAGAACCAACCTAAGGAGCCTTCATAAAGTAGCAATTTGAGCCAAGTTCCCACACATAAATAGAAAATGGCCTAGGTCCAGAATATATAAACCACGTGAATCATTAAATAACATGAAAAATCACAACTACGGAGCTTCAAAATATTGTCAGGGGGCAGCGAGAGGAGTTGTATCTCAAAAGGCTTCTATCATAGGCTAAGGAGCCTGAACCATAGCCAATCTGCAGCATCTACTGAAGAGGACTGAACTGGAGACTGGAGAACAAGATAACTAGGCATTAATTTTCAAAAGTTTACTCAATATGACTTTTTTTTTGGTGCACATGAGTGAGGACCTGATCTTGGATTCCTAGCAACCAAGTAAAAAGCCAGGCATGACAGCACACGCCTGAAACTCCAGGCTGAAGGAGAGACGTATAGTGGTGGAGACAGGAAGACCCCCAGGGCCATATTGGCTGGTCAGGTACAGTGAAAGAGCCTGTTCAACATGGAAGGCTGGAGGCAGCTCCATGAGTAGGAGTACTTGCTGAGCAAGCATAATGGGGGTGGGGAGAGGAGATCGAGAGAGAGCAATAGCAAGATCATGGCAAAATATGCTTGTACTTGTAATCTCAGCACCCGGGATGGTGGATGGGGGAGGCAGATCCTGGGAGTTTACTCACTGGCCAGCCAGTCTAGCTGAAATGGTGAACTTCCAGTTCAGTGAGAGACTGTCAAGGTAATAAAGTATCAAATGATAGAAAACACCTGACCTCCACCACTGGGCTCCTAATGGAAGTGTAGAGGTGTGTACACACACACACACACACACACACACACACACACACACACACACACCTCTCTAAATAAAACGGTGGGGAGAGATAGAGAAAGACACACACACACACACACACACACACACACACACCTCTAAATTAAACGGTGGGGAGAGATAAAGACACCTGACAGCCACTTCCAGCTTCCACACATGTCCTCATGAGCAAGCATGCCTGCACACATATGCCACACATACACCCAAAAGTTACTTTAAAAGTATTAAATTAAATGTTTTCTAAATATACTTGTTGACAAAATATAGATCAAGAGAGTTTATAGAAAACTTAAAACTGATCAATCAAAAGTCTTGGGGTTGGTCTTGTAAACAATTCAAAATGTCTCCCATGAAGGCAGAAAAGAAAAATATAAACAAACTCTCAAATTTTAAAAGTATTAAAAGGCCCTAAGACTGACTTAAAGAGACACCATGCCTTCCAGTCCCTTTTGAGAATGAGAATTGAGCACTGTGTCCTGCAAGGGTGTATCTATCTGTCTCTTCCTGAGGCTCTTGGCCAGCACAGCACAGGTGTTCAGACTCACACTTCATCTGCCCCTAACTGCACAAACCTGCCTAGCTGGACTCCCTGAGTTATTCCCTTGGGTACTAATTATTTTATTACAGTTACATAATTTCTCTCTTTCTCTGTCACCTTTATTACTGACTGACCGATGAGTAGGACAAGAGACGCACACACAAGCAGACCACTTGCAGGTTTTATCCTTTTACCATGTGAGTTCCAAGAAATAATCTCAGGTTATTAAGCTTGGCGGCCAGTGCCTTCACTCACTGAGCCATCCCACTGGCTTAAACTATGTAGTTTCTTACCGACATACTGGCATGGCTCCTAAAATGTAGCAAGTAATATAATTTTCATTGTTTTAAATGTACAATTCTAAGGAAAATAGAACTTTTCACAAGCAAACACAACAAGAAACATCAGATATTAAAAATGAAAGTCAGCTCTTCCCAGAGGGTTCAATTTCCAGCAACCACATGGTGGCTCACAACCATCTTCCAGTCCAGAGGATCCAATGCCCTCCCTTTCTGGCCTCTGCAGGCACCAGGCTTCCTCAGACATAATGTAAGAGAAAGCAAAAATCACTGAAAAACTTTTCAGCATCTACACCTACATTGCTGACAGACTAAAAACTTGAAGGGCTATATAGTCTCTATCAATTTAATGTCCTTTTAAAGAAATTTCTGAAACATAAAAGCCATTCTTTTAGATGCACACCACCAAGCCAGAGGCTAGATTTTGCCACTGAGATCTAGTCTGTCTCTGATGTAGTGACAATAAAAAGGAAAGGCCAATGGTGACCAAGCTCAAACTTGGAACAGCATTATTTATCTAACAATTACTAAAACTTCAAAAGTTCTGTGTACAAACAAGTGTTTTCATGAGTGCATTGATGGTGGTGGTGGTAGTAAAGGTGGCATTCTGGAAGGTCATGAAGATCATATCAAAGGTGAAACTCAGTCCCCTGAAAAAAACAGATTACTTCCTATTTACAAGCCACCTTCTAGCCAACCCTGTTCCATCAGGAACTAGCAGTACACACAAGGAAGGGCAAAATGTAAACTTACATTATGAAAACAAACCAGTATCAAATTAGCTTTTAAGTTAATGTTATTGAGCCAATTAATCATAAACTATCTAATAACAAAATACCACATGAAATGATGACTCCATAGTTTCCTACTCAGAAGAGGTAGGTGGAATGCAGTGACTCATGTCTTTCCTTATTTCATATCACCTTCTTTCCCAAAAGGAGGACCAAAAAAAAAAAAAAAATGGCAATAATGATGGTAGAAGTACCCCTGAATTTTGTGGCCCAAATGCACACACCTAGACCATTACTTTGATTGGTAACAGACTCTTGTCACCATTCCATAAAGAAGATGAACTGAAGACTGATTTAGCATTCAGCAAACCACTAGTAAAAATTTTACACGTAGATCATGGTTTTGTCTTGAATTTGCTATACCATTTGTAAAACTACATAGTCCTGGTTTGCATTTATTTCTCCCCCAGCCGACGCAGGATTAGCAAGAAGGCTCAGCTGGTAAAGGTACTTGCTGCAGAAGCCAGGTCACCTGAGCGCATCTCCAGAAGCCACGTACCGGGGAAGGAGAACAGACTCCACAGAGTTATCTTCTGACCTCAACACACACACCATGGTATGTATATGTACATTCTCTCTCTTTCATATACACAAACACAAAAAATATGAATAAATCTGAAAACTAGAATTTTGTTTACTGGCTTACTTACTTCATCCATTTTCATACATGTGCCAAAATCTGCTAGTTTTAGATGTCCATGTTTATCCAAGAGCATGTTATCAGGCTTCACGTCTCTGTGTATTAAGCCCATAGAGTGTATTGCATCCAGTGCAAGCACGACTTCAGCAGTATAAAATTTGGCCCATTTTTCAGGCACATCATAATTACTCATAAGGTTCACAAGGTCTCCACCTGGCATGTACTCCATCACCATATACAGGTACCTGTCATCTTGGAAGGCACAAAAGAGCTGGAAAAGGGGGAAGAATAAGATTATACTAAAAACAAACCCCACAACTATTATTGCCAGTGAAAAAATGGACTACTTTAAAATTGAAACCGTTAAAATTTGTGACATCTCTTACTTCTGGGTCAGGCCCATTTAGTGAAACAACAGAAGAGCAATTTTACATGGGTACTTTTCTAAGCAAACTGTATTCATAAAAGAATGTTTTCCTCTCATGGAAGACACAATGTAGGAAACTAAAAACATTGTTAAAAAAGACATAATAGGAACAAAGGAAATATTAGCTTTCTGAAAACTAAAAGAGCTATTGCTCATACCTTACACCAAAGAGCGCTGTAGGTAGGGTCAGCTTAGAAACACCTAAAGGATACCAATTTAACAGCAGAAGAAGTAAGGCCCATTTCAACTTTTAAAAACAATGAGTAATTAGTAACAACACTTGGAAGAGAACTCTTTTCTATTCTCCATCCTCTTCTTCACCTGCTGCACTGTCACCTGCTCCCAGGCTATAGTGTGTTGCTACCAAACCCCAGAAACATAGAGCAACCATAACTACCAAGAAAGGGTATCAGTACCCCCAGAAGCAAGCAAATAAAAAAGCAGTACCCAGAGATGACCTTTCTTTCTCAGTAAGAATCCAGTAGGCAAAGTTAAAGATCAAAAGATGCTAACAGACAGAATGGTTAATTAGAAAATGCCAGTGAACACACTAATACGGAAGCAATTAGGTTTAAAGCTAAAAGTGGGACACTTTAGCGCTCCCCTTTTTTCCTTCTTTTTGAGACAAAGTTTCCTTATGTAGCACAAATAGAACTCAAACAGAAAGAATCCCCTTGTGCAGCCTCCCAAGTGCTAGGATAGCAGCTGTGTCCACCACACCAGCATTAACTAGCATTCTTTACTCAAGCAAAATTATCAAGGCTCACAATCTGCCACACACACAAAAATTAGTTTGAACTGGACACACGAAATTTTTTAAACAATGGCTTCAATTAGCCAAATAAAAACAAGAGGTTTAAGACTCAATCTCATTTTTAATTTTATGTACTTGGGTGTTCTGCTAGCATGTATTTAAGTGCCCTACATGAGTGTTCCCAGTATCTGTAAAGGCCAGAGGAGGGTTGGATCCATTAGAACTTGAGTTACAGATGTTTCTAAGGCATCATGTAGGTGCTGGCCAAACACAGGTCCTCTGGAAGAGCACCCTAGCTCTTAACTGATGTGCTACCTCTACAGCCCCCCTCAACATTTCTAAAAACAGATGACCACATCATCTACATGGTCAATAGAAAACAAATCTCTGCTAGGTAGTGGGACACACATTTCAATCCCCAGCACTAGGGAGGCAGAGGCAGGCAGGTCTCTGTGAGTTCCAGGTCAGCCTGATCTACAGAGCAAGTCCCAGTACAGCCAAAGCTGTTAACACAGAGAAACCCTGTCTTGAAAACAAACAAAACCATCTCCCACACTGGCTCTTTCAAGCAAGGTATGACACTTCAGCTCATTTAAGCTCTTCAGAATACACACTGGTATGTGGGTATCTTACTCATCACGCATGTAGATTTGGATGCTGGAGTTAGGCATAACAAAAAAAGGATGCAAATATCAAATCAGTTCTCTTCAGTTATGAAATGGCACCAAGAACACTAATAACATCATATATTACAGAGAAACAGATAAGGTGCATTGGATGTTTAAGATGTTCACTGTAGAAAGCTTTTCTCTGAGTTTAAGATAGGCTGAGAATGTCACATGGTGTCTAACTCCAGTGTGTACAATTCCACCCAATGACAAGATGAGTTCACTATGCTTCTATTGTGTAATTGTCAAGGAAAGTGTGGCAGAGAATGTTTTGCTGGCCAATCACGCCAAATCTTCATATAAAACAATTAAGAAAGAAATAGTTTCTAGTAATAGTTTTTATAACCAACTTAAGTAATCACTGCATGCCATGACTCTGCAGATATACTATTGAGGAACACTAAACAAGCATACTCAATCAGATCTAATAAAAAATTATTGCATTTTTACTATGTGAACAAAGCATAGGAATGTTTAACACACAAAACACTCTTCTGAATAGACATACACAAAAACCCCACAGACTTGTAAAAGTTAGCATGCTTACCTGAACCACCCAGGGACTATTCGCAAAGGCCATGATGTCTCTTTCTTCCCAGAAAAAAGCAGAGTCTGATCTTTTTATCATTTCAAACTTACTAAGAAGCTTCATTGCATACACCTTCTGAGATGCCTTATGACGAACCTGTGGATTTTTAAATAACCAAAAATGAGTAATACTGACAAGGAGAATGCTACTGCTGCAATGCTGTTAATGACTAGCTACAGAACAAGTGACCCTTAGCCAAGTAAATGCATGTAAAACCCTGTCTCAAAAGCCAGCCCCCAAAGCAGAAGTATGAACATTTATAAGAGTCAAATATTTCAGGAAATATACTTTTTAAATCTCATCAAGTAAGCAACTAACTCATTCCATCTAAATAAAGCTTAATTCATAAAGCTCCATTCCCTCAGATTAATTAAACTAACCACATTTTTTTTTTAAATAAGATACTATTTAACAGGTAATTTCCAAGAACTGTTTTGCTAAGGGCAAAAATATTTCTTTTAGTCTGAAATATCAGTGTGTGTGTGTGTGTGTGTGTGTGTGTGTGTGTGTGTGTGTGTGTGTGTTCGTGCACATGTATCACTCTGAACATTAAGAATCTAAAAGCTTAGTTTGCAACCTGATTTTATGAACTTATTCTCATTTTTCTAAGTATTCTAGTTAAAAGATTAATTTCCAAGAAAAAGCAACCAACAATATAGTTATTCGATCAATTCCTATTTTGCTTAACAAATCTGTTCTGAGTAAGAATGGCATCTATTTATAACCACTATTACTTCCCAGGACACAGCAAAGTATCACAAAGCCATGAAATATGCAGTCTAAGATATAACAGCTAACACATACTAGACAATAATAAATAATAACTGGTAACATGTATACAAAGCAGAAATGCCCAAGGTTCTCAGTTGGCAAATTGTTCCTTTATTCAAGCTGCTCAGGGTAAAATTCCTTTGTCAGAAAATCATACAGTGCTTCTTTTAACTTGCTTCTACATCCTGCCATGTCACTCCTCAGCTTGTCTCTTTTGTATGTGCTGCTCTTTGTGGAAATTCCTTCAGACTCAAGTTCAAATATTGCCTTCTCAGCAACACCTACTCTTTCTTATCAAGGTTGTTAGCTCACTGTCCCCATCTCCAGGAGTATATCTCTAATTCATTCTTTCTTCCTTGCTTTTTGCTCCATTTCACGTCCTAATCTTAAAAAACATAACTTTGCCAGGAAGTGGTAACGAACACCTTTAGTCCCAGTACTTGGGAGGCAGAGGCAGGCGGATCTCTATGAGTTTGAGGCCAGCCTGGTCTTGTACAGTCAGGGTCACACCCGGGGGGATTGAGGTGGGGGGAGCCACACAACAACAACAACCAAACACTCATTTGTCCTCTATGTCTCAGCAATGAAGATAAAGACAATGTTACAGAGTGCCAGTGAGCTATCCCTTCCTTCTATATGTCAGAATGGCAAACAGAAGGCAGAGGATTCAACCTGCCTGCCTCTGCATCCAGAGTCTACAGTCTTTACACCTATAATCCAGAAATGAGCATGACCCGCCTCCAATACCCAGTCCACCTGCAGTTCTTTCCCTGAAAAGCTCATCAGCATTTGGTCTTAGGGCTGGAGAAAGAAGTTACAAAGAGAGGAAGTTCTTGATCACAGTGCTGACCAGCCTAGGGCCACCTTCACAGTTTAGATCTTGTCCTTTTGTTCCCATTCACTTAATGACAATTATCTGTCTTTAGTCCCTCTAATAGAAGAATGAACCCTCATTCTTTATATATTTTTCATTGGAAAACCCATCACAGTCCCAGAACCCCACCTCTCACCCAAAGACACTAGCTTATTTATTTTCCACTAAGCCAAAATATGAAACTCCTCAGAGGCTTTCTCTGACTACCCAATTAAATTTAGAACCTCGATGGCGACAGCAAATGTTTTCTTAGAAACTGTAAAGAATAGTGGTGCTCCCTCACAACTCCATTTGCTTCTTCCTACAATCTGTGATTTTCTGGATGTTTGGTACTTATCGCAGGCTCTCCAGATGACAGTGCAAACTCAGTAATGGTAGAGATTCTTCATGCCTGCTTGGTCCCCTTCTGATCCCTAGTGACAAATTCAATGCCAGTGCTGGCAAAAATAAAACATACTAAGAAGATACCTGATGAATAAATTCTTTAACTTTATGACTGACTGAATTTTTAGGACTTTGTTGTTGTTGTTGTTGTTTGAGATAAGATGTCACTATATAGCCCTGGCTAGCCTGGTACTTGCTATGAAGACCATACTAATCTTGAACTTAAGAGATCTACCTGCCTCTGCCTCTGCCTCTACCTCGTGGAGTACTGGAATTAAAGGTGTGTGACACCACATTTGCCAGCTAAATTTCCAGTTTTAAGGAAGATTCAATAGTAATATTCCAGTTAATTCCTGCGAAATATTATCTATACCTAAAATAATACTATTATTGATTAAAATAAACTACATCAAAAGAAAGCTCACATCTTTCCCAGAGGAAACTGGGAAGAAAAGAGCATAATCTGCAAATCAAATATTAAATAAATATAATAAAATTTTGGAAATCATAAAAATGCTCTATTTAATACAGAATTTTCTAGTTACAAAACTAAGTATTTTTATTTGAATGGACTTTTTACAAATCTCTTATAGAAAACAAACAATTCCTAGCACAATCAATATAAATATTCACCAATTAGAATCATACCAAACTGGTTATGATAGCACAACAGGAACCAGCTAGCCCTCCCACTGTAAATCACCACCAAATCCTATAAAGCCAGTTTCCACAAAAGCTTTACAAAATGAGCAGCACATGACTAAGTCATCAAGTCAACTCCATAATGGCCTATAAACAGTTTAAAAACTTCTCAATAGATGTACAGTAAGAGTTTCCTAAGCAGGGCACAGTGATACTGCTGAGTTGGGGGGCAAGGGCTGCTGGTGCACCAAGATTAGAATTCAGAAGAAATGAAGTACTGGGTTCTGCTGGGTAGGTAAACTACAGAAGTCACCTGAGAGAAAATAATGCAGGTGTACTTGAACAACTATGCAGGTTTGAGGAACAGAATCACTGAAGCAGACTAAATGATATCTTGCAAATTTCCTGGGCATTCAGCTGATACATCTTAAAGGATAAACACTAACATAGTGGTTCTCAACCTTCCTAATGCTGTGACCCTTTAATATAGTTCCCCATGTTGTGGTGACCCCTAACCATAACATTATTTTTGTTACTACTTCATAACTATAATTTCTGCTATTATGAATTGTAATGTAAATATCTGATATGTGACCCCTGTGAAAGGGTCTTCTAATCCCAAAAGGGTGGCAATCCACAGTTCGAGAACCACTGGTCTAAAGCAAGATCTGCTCTACTACTACTTAACAAAAACTAACACCAAATCTAAACGCCAAAAGGGAACAGTTTAGCTAGAGGCTGAGCCTGGCTAAGGTAAAAGGGCTTGATAGCAATATTTGCTTGTTCTACACACCTCCTCTCACAAAGTGTAAAACAGCCTGCACAAATTAAATTAAGGATAACCAACCAGTAAGTCACCAAACAGACCATTGGAATGATAACCAACACTCTTCAAAGAGATTAACAAATCTCAAAAACTCTACCTCATATCTGTAAGGTCTAGCCAGTAATTTAAAACTTACTGAAGAGGTAAAAGGAAAGCATGACTTATCATTAAGAAAAAAAACAGCTAAAAGAAATGACTCCCAAAGGTGTTGGGTTTAGCTTTAAGTTTTTCTTATAAATAAGTAAAAAGAAATAAATTAAGTAAAAATGACTCTAAGAAACATGCTTAAATAAAAGAACATATGTAATGGAAATAATAAAAATCAACTAGAAATTTTGTAACTGAAAAATACAGTAAGAAAATACAAAAATACAAAATACAAAAGAAAACTCAGAAGGGTTTAACAAAACATTGATTTGAAAATGAGAAATTCAAACCAGGTAATGATGCATACAACTTTAATCCCAACACTTAAGAAGCAGAGACAGGCAAATCTCTGTGGGGTCCAGGATAGCCAGAGCTACAAAAAGAAACCATGGAGAGAAGGAGGAAGGAGGGAAAGAGGGAGACAGGGAGGGAAGGAGGGAAAGATCTAAATATACCCATTAATGAATTATCCAACAATTAAAAAGACAAATTTATGTAGTTTAGATATAAACCAGATAGGCCAAAGAATAAAGGAAACACAAACATATCTGCCCTAGAAAACAGCAAGGATAAATTTATAATAGGAATGTAAACAGTACAGCACTTACAGCAAAGATAATCTATTATCTAAATAAAGAGTCAATACATCAAGACATAAGAGAACCAGGAAGCAAGCACTTGAGTGACCTTTGTTGAGTTGCAGGCCAGCCTGCACTACATACATACTGAGTCCCACACTATGTGGGGAGGGGACATAATTCTAAATGTGCACATCTTTAACAAATGAAAACTCATGAAACAAAAACTAACAGAAGTAGAGAAAGAAAACTACAAATCTCTATTTTCAGCCAAAAAATTTAACACTCCATATCAGTAAACTGATAGAATATAAAAACATTTATATATAATTTCTCCTTTTAAAATGTTTTGAAATTTGAAGTATTTTGAAATACTGTAACATTACATAAAAATGATAACTGCATACAACCAAGCATATGATAATAAGAACTGTTGCTTATATCCATCTTCTGTTCCTAGGCTGTAATATTAATTCCATACTAGATGTTCATAGTGCTATAAAATTTATAGAACACTGAAAATAAATGCACCAGAATGAAATATAAAAACACGGGGCATAAGTTGGGCATTAAGGAATGACAGTTGTAAAGCTTAAAAACTATATACCACAGCAGACATAGCTTTTTAATTGGCTTGTATTCAATAATGAGACTATCTAAAGGAAATAATAATTTAAAAAGAATAAATTTTTAGAAGTTGCTAAGATACTCTCTTCTATGCATATTTATATCATTCTTCCAGCCTTCACTTACTCTAAAAACAAACTGAATTTTAAGTATGCTCTAACTTCATTAGAGAAATCAACACATAGGGCATTAAGTCAATTAATTTGCTATTATTTTTATTATTTATACTTAAGACCATGACATACAT